CTTCTCATGTTCTCCCTCTTTCAATCGCATCTTGGCTCTCTCCCTCTATCGTATCGCAACATACGAGTATCATTTCTGATAGCTTGGAGCGATAATTTTTTTGGGAGAAGTAATTTCCTACTGCGTACGCAAGTCAGTGACAGAGCATAAAGCTTCACAATAGGTACTCTATCTTTTTCTCATATCACAGTATAGGTTTTTCCAATACCAATATACTACGCATATTTTTATTCAAGATTCAATATAGAAGTATATTTTATGGTAATGTTTTATTTTTTCATAAGCTTAATTTTGAACCTCAAAAAACAGTGACGGAAAAGGTTTTTGTTTACTAAAAAATATGTTTGGATCAAGTGCAAGAATTCACATGGTTGTCGGGATGAAAATGGGTATCGCATGGGAGCATGGCATTTGAATGAGCAGTGATAACCGAACCATCAAATGCAAACATGGGAGAAGGTATTCAGCAGAGGGGTCTATCGCTTGAAACATCAATTAGCCGGAACTAATAAGGATGTCGGACCTTGTAAAAGTGTAAGCGACAAAGTCTGGAAACAAATGTGGGATATTTTTGTTTCGTTAAAAAAAAAGTTAAATGCTAAGGCCGATAAATATGGAGATGATGTTGAAAGAGAAAAAGAGTAGAGAACGAGAATCCAAACGATCTCTTTAAAAGGCGAGGCACTTAAACCACCATGAACTCTACTTTCAAGAAGAACTTGTTTGAAGAAGCATGTGAGGCGATTTCTTCATTCATTACCAACAATGCGATACCTTTTAATGTAGCTAATAGTGAAGAACTCAAGAAGATTTTTGAATTAGTTGCTCAACATGGTCTTGGATTCAAGCCTCCATCCTATCATGAGATAGGAGTCAAAAACTTGAACAAGTTGGTTGAAAAAACCAACTTCATAGTAGAGGATTACAAACCTTTTGGAAAAAATCAGGATGCAGCATGATGAGAGATGGATGGACTAACAAGAGTAAGAGGACTTTACTCATTTTTTTGGTAAATAGTCCTAAAGGTACAGCTTTTTTGGATCACTTGATGCATCTGGCATATCTAAAACAAGTGTTAAGATATTTAAGATGTTAGATGATCTTGTTGAAGAAATTGGGGAAGAAAATGTTGTCCAAGTTGGGACAGATAATGCGGAAAGTTATAAGGCAGCCGAAGAATTGCTAATGGACAAAAGAATGAATTTGTATTGGACTCCATGTGCTGTACATTGTATTGACTTGATGCTCGAGGATTTTGAGAAGAACTTGCCTTCACATAATGAGACAATTGCCTCTAGAAAAAAATTTACAACCTACATCTACTTACGCACTAATCTCATCTCTTTGTTGCATACTTTTACTAGGCGTGCTGAACTAATTAGACTCGGTATGACTCGTTTTGCCACTTCTTACTTAAGATTTGGATGCTTGCATGATAACAAGGGTTCATTGGTAGAGCTAGTCACATCTGATCAATGGAAATCTAGTCAATTTGTGAAGGCTAGAGATGGAAAGTCCATTGAGAATCTGATTCCTTATAAAGGAGTTGCGCTTGGTTGATTCTGAAGAAAAGCCAGCAATGGGGCTCATTTATGAAGAAATTGACCATGCTAAAGACTAAAGAGAATATTCGAAAGGCTTCTAAAGGTGTTAGGAAAAGGTATATTATTAATATTTCATTTATACGATTATTTAATAATTTAATATAATGTTTGTTATTAATATGATTTATTTTGTTTATCTCTAGCTACCTTCCTTTGTGGAATATCATTGATGAAAGGTGGGATAACCATATGCATAGGCCTTTGTATGCTGCTGGATATTATCTAAACCCTGCTTTGCATTATAGTCCCAACTTTAAAGCTGATTTGGAAGTTAAAAGGGGGCTATAGGATTGTTTTAAAAAATTAGTGGGAGATGTTAAAGAATAATCCAAAATCGATGTTCAACTTGAATATTTCAAAGCGAAAAAAGGATTTTTTTTTTGGTGGTGCACTTGCAATGGAAGCACTTAAAACAAAACTCCGGCTCAATGGTGGGAATCATATGGTGATGCGAGCATAACTAGAGTGCACCTGAGATGGTCCATACCAAAAGAAGGAATCGCTTGAAACAAAAGACCATGAATGATTGTGTTTTTGTAATGGCTAATACAAAATTAGCGAAGAAAAAGAAAAAGAGGTATGGAAAAGATTATAACATTGATAAACTTGATTCTGATGATGAATGGATTGTAGAAGAAAATGATGGCTTTCCAGACTTTGATATATTGAATGAAGGTCTACTTCAAGTTGAAGAGAAAATGGTGGAACTGATGATGCATCATGTGATGAATTGGAAGTTCTTGCCCAAGTCAATGATGAAGATGCATTCATGGATGATGACTTCAATCTTGAAGATTTTGTTGAATGTGCTATTCTTATCCTCAATGTCTTGCACTCTTGCTTTGAACTTCTTCTTTGTTTTTGTTTTGGAAACATATTGCTAATTTTATTTATTTGGACGTTATGAAGATGATTTATCACTTTATTATTATTTTTAATTATTTACATGTCTTATATATTAAATATTACAAGTACTCTAGGATCTTCCGATTCGAGTTATGATCCACGATTTACAATCTGCAGAACCCCTGCTATCTTAGCTAGGATCTCGAGTTTAAAAATCTTGCTTCTTAGGTCTACCCATTCTCCCACCTCCGCCCACTATTGTAAGCATCTCGCATCTCTGCATTAGCGCCTCTGCACCTCGCCGCTTCACATGCTCAAATAACCTTAACCTAGCTTCCCGCAGCATTTCCTCCACAAGTGTCACTCCCACCTGTCACTTAACAACCTCATTCTGAATCATGTCCAACCTTGAGGTGTAATGTCATGAACAAAACAAACACTCCCAAATAACTGAGGTGGTAAAGAAAAAAGACCTTTGTGTGGAATAAGATGGAATATGGAATCTCATTATTGAGGACAGAAGGAAGGCATTCGGTTAATAAGATAGCATGTGGTACGTATGACATCAACCCATAAATGTACGAGTGAAGAGAGTGTATTAAACTGCCTCGCCCGTCCACTGTAGCCGACGTGGCCTGCGTCCCCCTGAGATGCGGCTATGTTGGAGTTGTTCGTCCTTCTCATCTGTCCCTCTCGTCCGCCTTCACGGATTCATCCGTGGGCAATTTTATAAAAAAAAAAATTGACGCCGTCAAATTAAGAGCTAGACGCAAGAGTGATTCGGATGACCAGCGACGACTCCATGGGCGGCGGTAACAGCAATTGAACGGCGACTCCATCAGCGGTCGCTGCTTCTTCCCAGTTTCTTCCCATGGGCAGCGGTGACAGCAATTGAACGACCGTCCCCACTTTCTTCCCCTTTTCTTTTTTTCTATGTCAAATTAATTTTTTGTCCTTTTTAAAGGTTTAATTAATTTCAAAGTTTTCATTTCCAATTTATAAATTAAATATTTTTAATATTGCACCATGGATGAATATGGTAGTGTTGAGGGTAAAATTGTTTGTGGGAAGGACGAGTAAGAAGCTGATGTGGCACGCTGCATGTGGGAAAAATAGATGTTAGCTTTGCGGGAAGTCTTATTGGTAGTAACAGAGTGTCGTGCAGTGTCTACCAGGTGATGATTCCTTCGTTCAACAATACCGGTTTGGTGTGGTGAGTCAACGCAAGAGGATTGGTGAAGCATTCCCTCGGGATTCCTGCATAATTTTCAGAAAATTTGAATTGGTTAAAAATGGTCTGTCAATTCAATTGAGACCAAAAAGCTGATGCCTACTCCAAAGAACAGATCTGAAATGTTGCCGGAGACTTCTGAATGTTTCAACGTGATGTCTGTTTGTGGGAGAAAATATCTACAAGGAGAGGAAATATACACTAGTAGATGCAGAAGAAAATGACAAGAAGGTTTTCCGGATTTTTCCAGGCATAAAATGGCTCAGATACCATGTGAAATTTTAGAGAAAAAGCTGATGAACACTCTTATTTCCTACTTCTCAAATTACAGAATACACACAAATATATAAGCTAAAACCTATTTAGTAAAGGTATGACATCATGGGTGCTTACCTCATGAACATGTCAATCTACAGGAATCCTACATCAACAACAACAACAACAACAACCCAGTTGAATCCCACTATAGTAGGGTCTGGGGAGGGTGTGTGTACGCAGACCTTGCCCCTACTCGAAAGTAGGGAGGCTGTTTCCAAGAGACCCCCGGCTCAACCTGCACAAAAAATATGGTAGGGAACACAATATAACAGGATAACAGGATATAACAGGATAAAGCACCAAGTACAATGAAATGAAAGTCCAGCAAGCAAAAGTAGAAGATTCCAATCAAGCACAGGAATCCTACATCATTTACAACTATTTCACACTACATCATTTGACTTGGCATGCTCTTTAATGTAAGATGAAAAATGTTTCACTTCCATCTTTGCCCTTGGTGGTGTAGTAAATTGGAGAGACACGTAAGGATAAAATACTCTTTTCATTGTAAAAAAGATAAAGTCTTTCCCATTAAGGAAACACAAAGAAAGATATATGACGATCCAAAAAGGGAAATGAGAAGTAAGATATAGGAATGAGGGAGTAATAACTAATTAAGAAACCCTAGGTCTCTAACATTACTCTCTTCCTTAATTTGGACCTCGTCTACAAAGTGAAACATAAACAATTGTAAAAGAGGAATACTTTTAATCAGGACACACACGAATTAAAAAATTAGAAAGCATCCAAACTACACCTACCTACCTCGTAGAAACCAGATCCCTTTGAGGTCATAGTAACCTACAAGTTGTAGGCGGTAAACTCTAGTCTTCGACCTCCGAACTAAGCTATCTAAGATTCTAAGGGCATCTCCTTGGTAATACATCGATATAAAAAGAAACATATCTCGTACCACACAAGATAAGAACAACAGCCACAGACATATATTCATGGGCACAAAGAGAAAATCTAAGTTAATATTATAGATGTAAGCAATTTACCTCAACAGTGCTTCTCCCTTCTTGAGCATTGTAGTTGACATTTACATTTACAACTTGCTAGGAAAGGAAAATGTCAACTATATCCATCAAATTAATTGAGCACATAAGAAATTCTCTCTTCAAAGATCATATACGATGGACAAAATTAGAATATTAAACACTTATAAACAAATAACCTCATCTTCCGGAAATACACCAGTTACCCTTGCAATATATTGTTTATGCACCCTTCCAGATTCAATCTGAAATAAACAAACCACTTTTGTGAAAAGTTCTGAAAGCGGGCATGGGTCAAATACCCCCCCCCCCCCCGCCATAAAAAAAATCGTGGAAATAGAATTGAGCCCTTCAACCGAACACTTCAACCCCAAGGAATAACGCAAATAAACGAATTTTACATATAATAGCATGTAACCATCACATCAGGACATCACTACCATGTCACTGCAATATACAGGTGGAGGCAGAACATGTGGTGCAAATGGAATCTCTTTGTGCTAAACTACAAAAATTTAAAAGTAAGGAGATTCTTGGTTGGAAGGGAGAAAGAGAACGTGGGCATCCATTATCAAAATGGAAAATGCCTACAATGTGGTCCACCTCCACCACAGCAAGACGAGCTTGGCCGAGTTTCTCTCTCTGGCGATAAGATAGGATTCCCGATCTCCATCTCGTTACCATAGTCAAGCTTCGATTCATGCTCTTTTCTGTATCAAAACTTCAGATTTTATGGATTAATCTGATCGTCTTCTTGTTGTGCATCTCCTCAGTGATTTATCATGCCCAGTTTCTTCGATCTCTTGGGTTAATCGCTAGAGCTGATTGTTCGGTTACTGTTCACTCGTCTTCTTCATCATGCACTTTTAAAAGACTCATAGGGAGAACATCTCCATACAAGTAAATTGAGTTTGTGGAGAAAAACTAATTAGTGGGAGCATAACAATCATAAGGGGACCACCAGCTATCACTATCAAGCATGCTCTGCATATCGCAAAGAATGTGGCTCTCAACTTACCAAAGTGTTCTGTTTATCAATAATGACAGCCAATTCATCCAGACTCATAGGGAGAACATCTCCATACAAGTAAATTGAGTTTGTGGAGAAAAACTAATTAGTGGGAGCATAACAATCATAAGGGGACCACCAGCTATCACTATCAAGCATGCTCTGCATATCGCAAAGAATGTGGCTCTCAACTTACCAAAGTGTTCTGTTTATCAATAATGACAGCCAATTCATCCACTCCACTGGCTACCCAATCAATCACAAATATACTCTTGGAGTAAAAAGTAAATAAATATCTCGAATTGAATAGAAACATTTAAAGACTGGCCCAAAAAGTAGTTAAATGAAAAAAAATGGGAGATAAGAAATAGTAATTGAAAAAACGAGTATTGTCATAGTATTAATTACAAATTAGTAAAAACAAAAACAAACCCAACAAAACTCATCCCTTGGTCCACCCCACTCCAAAAAGGTAAAGCAAAAAAACAAAATTAAAGAAAATAAAGAAAGCAAAGGAAGTAAATGAAGTCCAAATGAACAAAACAAAGAAAGACAAGCTTACAAAACAGGACACCAAATGGAGGCAGATCTACTTTCCTCTGGCGGCAGTAGCAGCGGATCAATGTCGCAATGGTGGTGATACGATGGGATTTTTCAGATCTGATATCTGGCTTCCGTATGTTAGGGTATTAAAAAAAACAATCCTGCGGTTGCAAAGCATCTAAAGAGAAGGCGCATGCAGTAGTGAGTGTGAGAGGGAATCGAAGAACACTACTAAAGCCACCTATTGTTGGTCGCTTCTAAAGTTGTATGCTGATGGTGGATGTGGCCATGCCGGTATGCACACAACCCGAGAAAGAGTTGCTACTTGCTACTTTGCTAGGGTATTATTTAACTCTTTATTTTCTAGTTAGGAAGCCCAGATCCCAACCCCCTTTTCTTAATTCCCTAGGACCCAATCCATACCTCGGATGTTGCACGCAATCAACTATTGCATGAAGAAAAGGTGAGCGGGTTGCATCAAGCACTATAAGACTCAAGTCATGATGCCTTGCCTCTTGGCCTTGGGGGATCAGGCACAGGCCTATAATAGCAATGGTGGTAATCTAATATGTTGGGAAAGTATGAAGCAAGTTGTAGTTCTCAGATCGTGCATTGAAGTTAAGTGCCATATTATGACCTTGGCAACATGTGATCTAATATGTTTATAACACTATTTGTTTGGGATTACACCATGATAAGGTGGCTCAAATGACTCTATGTGATAACCAAGCGACCATATGGAAGAGGATTTTTTTATTTAATACTGGAGAAGATTATGTCGCAACAATGTTTTACAAGCTTCACTAGTTTTATTTTTTGTTGAGTATAATTATTATGTAGTGCATTTCATAGTTATGTCCATGGTTGTTAAGTCGATAAGTCGAGTCGAGTCGGTGAAGGGGAGACTAGTGGACTAGTCGTCCTACTAGTCGTAGACTAGTTGACAAATCACAATTAGTATTGAAATTTTTTAACATTATATATATCTTCATTCACCCAAGATAACTATATATATTTATATGACAAAATATCATTACCAAAATAGAGTTATGTTTAAAGGTAGAACATAAAGTCACTAAAAAATTAATAAAACTGAAAATTAAGAGTATAATATACTTTAATAGTCTAATGAGCCAAATTAAAGAAAATTAAACTGAATTAAGAGTATACTTTAATGATAAATAATTAAAGATAGAGAGATGTTACTTATGGATAGAGAGCGTGTGAGTACTAGAAGATGAAGAAGAATCGATTCCAAAAAATTGATTCTGGAACTGCGAACTCTGGAAGATGTTGATGAAGGAGATGTCGCGATTTGGGAATAGTTAAATGTTGATTCACTGGATTTTGATTGTGCTGATTGAAGTGATTGAGGGAGTCTGTGTTTTATTGAGTAATTTTTAAAGTTTAATGAAATTTGGGTCGGGTTGGGTCAAATTAGGTTGTTTCAGACTGGGCAGGTTTTCTTCACATACTAGTCATTGCCTAGGCATGCCTAGGCGTCGCTTAACTCGCCCAGTCGCCTAGTCTACCCTAGTCGCTAGTCGACATGCAAGTCGCCATTCAGAAAATGCTTGGACGACAAGTCGTCGACTAGGCGACGACTTGACAACAATGGTTATGTCTGATCACATTTATGTGTTTAGGGAAGGTCAAAGGTGAGTAATCGCAAAAATAGTATTGGATTGTTTTAGCTGCAACTTTGGCAATATCTTCCTAATGTGTAGGTGCCTAGGCGGTGGCATCAATGGAGACATTCTCAAACATTGGACTAGTGGGGGCAACACATTTGTTGAGGATGGTGATTGTGAATGTGACAATGACAGAGTGGGCTTTGGAGATGTTAGTGGCTAAGAGGGGTAGGTATGGGATTACGACTATGGTTGGTCAATATGAGGCTGAAACCATGGAGTAAGGTTGTCAAGGGGCAAGTGGTAAATGATCGGGATGAGGAGCTGAGACGTAGTGCTTACTACTAGAGGTCTCGAGTTTGACCATGAGGCCTTGAATGTGGTCACTAGCTTGACCACCCTTGCAAGTAAGTATTAGATTTAATTGGGTTTGTTCACGTATAACTGAATAGGTAATGGGTCAATGTTCGGGTCAATTAGTATAGAGTCGGTTAGTGTGTCTTTCATCTGTAATTAATTAAAAACAAAAAACAGTTAGGAAGATTCTCAAAGATAGGTCCTGTTAGTTTCTTAAAGTTGTGTTGGTTTGTAAAAGTTATGTTGGTTTGTTAAAGTTGTGCTGGTTTGTTCTCTATTTATATTTAGAGAACACAAAGAATCCTATACAGTTCACAACAATAAAATATTTGTCTGTATTGCTTTGATCAAATCTGTCAAACAATTAGTATCGGAGCAGTCTGGCAGGGGTTGTGATCTACAGCAGAAGGGATAGGTCAGATCATAAAACAGAGCATTTGCAACTTCCTCGACAACAAATCAGAAATCTTTGACTAGATTCTTCCTCGCCTAGGACAAGAATAGCAAGTGGCTAGTTTTTTTCTTGGGCAAAAGTATTCCAACCAAAAGGAGCAGGAAAAACGAATCAGTGGGGTAGCTTTCGTTTAGCGGCTTGGAAGCATAGTTTGTAAGGCGTCGCCTAGGCGATAAGGCGCTATCACTGGGACGCCTTGTCTGCTCGCCTCGCCTAGAAAACCTTAAGGCAATCAGGCACTCGCCTAGCCGTCACCTTACTTCGCCTTACCTCGCCTTGATGCCTTGGGCCCCTTTAAAATTTTGAAAAAACCCATTTTTTAGTGCAGCCCAAATGCTTTTAGTGTAGCCTTATAGACTTAAACTTATCTTCTCTCTCTCGGTCTTCTCTGTCTCGATCAAGCTTCCTTAAAATGTATAAGACCTATATGTATGTGTGTGTGTAGGTATGTATGTCGCCTACTCGTCGCCTAGGCGTGCGCCTAGTCGCCTAGGCAATATGAAAGTACATTGGCGCCTTGCCGCCTTACAAACTATGCTTGGAAGACGGAAAAGCAAGGGGCTTGTCTTCTGATTGATAGTCGATTGCAGGTGGCTTACGACCCTGGAAGGAATCGAAGTCTTTTCAACATTAATGGGATTTGGGAGGAGTAAGTCACTTAGGTGTTTCAATTCAAACGAGCAAGGGCATTTTGTGAATGAATGTCCAAATGGGATCAAAAGGAACACATTGCAAATTTGATTCAAGATGATGATGAAACAACGATGTTGTGAAGATCAGTGTGAACATACAACGATTAGGGGCGTGATTGTTAGATTTAATTAGGTTTGCTCACATATAACTGATGGGTAATGGGTCACTTCGTAGAGAGTCGGTTAGTATGGAGTCGGTTAATGTGTCTTTCATTTTTAGTTAATTAAAAATAAAAAATATATAGGCACTTTCTAAGAGATAGGTCCACATAGTTTCTTAAAGTTGTGTTGGTTTGTAAAAACTGTGTTGGTTTGTAAAAGTTGTGTTGGTTTGTTCTCTATTTATATTTAGAGAACACAAATGATCTTATACAGTTCACAACAATAAAATATTCTTTTGTTTTGCTTTGATCCGATCTTGTCTAACAGTAAGAACTTCAAGGATTCCATGGTGGCAGTAATGGTTTTCAACTTCTCAGTGGATGGATGATTGTGAAGCCCAAATGCAAATCAAAATATCCTTCATATAAACCATGACGGTGGCAAGAGAACCAAGAAGTTATGTTCCTAGGCTTGTCAAAGGGCATTCAGTATGGCATGAGGGCTCCAACAAAGAGGGGGGTTTATGTATGGCGAAGGTTACCACCTTGCACAAGAAGTGGTTCTTAGAGGATTTATTATTAGAACCTTAACTCCTCCTATAAATTTTGGGTAAATTTCACGTATGATACCTGAACTTTTAGCTATTTTTCTTTTTGGTACCTAGACTTCATTTTCTTTCACAAAAAATCCTAAACTTTGAAAATCTTTCACGAATGGTACATGGGGCCGGTTTTCAGCAGGTCGGGCCAAATTTACAATTTTATATATTTAAAATCTTCAATTTGACCCCAATTCTTTTTTTCTTCTTCTTTCACCCTTGTTTTTCTTCTTCCTTCTTTCACCCCTTCTTTTCTTTTTCTTCCTTCTTTCACCCATTTTTTTCTTCTTCTTTATTAAACCCTCAACTCACAACAACCCACCCCTCCCTACTTGTTTAACCCCACCACCCTTCTTAAGTCCCCTCTCTATTTTTGTTTAGTTTTAACTTCCTCTTTAAGTATTTTTTTTTTGTTTTTAAATTTTTTGTTGAATAACTTTTTTATATTTTTTTCAATTTTATTTGATATATGTCTTTTTTTGTTTTCAGTCTTTTTTATTCGTAAATTTTTTGGTTTGGTTTTTTCTATTTTTTTTCTTGATGTTTTAATATTGTTTGTTTGTTTACGATTTTTTTACTAACTTTATTACTGTTAACAAATGTCTAATTTTTTGTTTTTTTGTTTTATTTTTTTGATTTTTTTGTTTGACTTAATCAATTTTATTTAATCAATTTAATTAAACAAAATAAAATCAAAGCTTACATCTTTTTTTGTCTGTTTATAAATCTTTATTGTAAATAATTAAACAAAACAAGTGAATAAAATAAACCCTAAATAAATAACTAAAAAATGAAAAAAAAATAACGCAACAAAAAATTTTAAAAACAAACAAAAAATAAGACATATAGTAACATTTTTTGTTTCATATTTTTTTCAAAAACAAAAAACAAAGAAATAAGATTGAAAAAAGTGACACTATATGTCTTATTTAGTCTGATCTTTATGTTTAATTAAGTTGTATAGTTTGATCTTTTTGTTTAACTAAATTGATTAAATAGAAAATAAAAATGTTATTAACTAAAAAGATAAAAGATATAGGAGAAAATAACAAAACAGATAAATAAAGTAAGAAAGAAAGAAAAACAAAAAAAAAGAAAACAAAGAGAAAAAGAAAAAAAGTAAGAAATGAGAAAATGCAGAAAAGGAATAAATAATAAATAAAGATTTCAAAAAGGAACTAAAGAAAAAAGTAGCAAACGAAAACAAACAAAGAAAAGTAAAACAACGAGTTTTTTTTAAATGTCTTATTTTTTTGTTTATGGTACTATATGTCTTATTTTTTGTTTGTTTTATTAAAATTTTCTGATGTCTTATTTTTTTGTTTTTTTTTTTTGCATTTTATGTATTTATTTAGTGCTTATTTTATTCACGTGTTTTGTTTAATTGTTTACAATAAAGATTTAAAATAGACAAAAAAAGTTAACAAACAAAAAAATTCAAATTAAACAAACAAACAAAATTAAGACGCATAAATGATTATTTTTGTTTAATTAAATTGATTAAATATAAAATAACATAATTATTAACAGAAAAGAGAAAAGATAAACAAAATTCAAAAACTACTTCAAAAGTTCTACAAAACAGGGGTTATAAAACTTTTTATACTATCAAATGATCAATGAGAATAGGTAAAGAGAGAATATATAATAGTAAATTGGAACATTATTATGGGGCAGGGGGAGTAATAGGAAACAAATTATTATATTTAATATTATTATTATTGTGGTTGTCGTTGTTATATGATAATAAAATAGTAATAATAATAAGAAGAAGATGATCACATCATACCCAAATGTAGTTACATGTGCAGGACTGCAGGTGTATATATGTCCCATTTTTCCCTTTGTTAATCTACATACCAAGACCATCATTCTTCCCTAATTATCTTCATGTTCAACATTGTTCAACTTAAAGACATAAAAACAAATTCTTTTAAAATTTTAAAAGTTGTATACAATTTTAACCAGCTTTGCATATGACTTATACTCTTCAGCTTTAAAGAGTGTGAACAATAAACTCAGTTGAGAGTTAGTTGAAGAATGTTAACTGAGGCTAGAAATTGGTTTGAAAGCTTTTGTCTGGGTGCATGTTGATTTTATCCAACTATCCATCAAATGTGTCTATACAATGTACTCTTCTATTATAAAAAAAGACTTTCAATAAAGTCCGTTACGAAATGACATAACTACAAGAAAATACCTGCTGCCTAAAAGTGTCAGCTCTAGAAGAACTTCGGGCTAAGATAAGGAGCCCCGACACCAGGCGATCAAGACGATGAACAGCTAAAAGTCATGTCAAGGAAACATAAACCAAAATAAGTTATAGGGAGCAATAATTAACTAGACATTTTGACACAGTTTACATGCTGGAAAGATAGAAGTGCTAGATTTTATCCAGTATTTACTCAAATTATAAATTACTGGGCCATGCAGAATCATGTTCACAAAAGAAAATTTAACTTAAGTCAATTTAAGTTTACTTTTAATGTTTGTAGTCTGGCCAAATATCCATTCATGGGGATTATTGGGGCAGGTTTATGCTGCAAGCTTTTCATAGCAAAACACGTTATCTTTATAGTTGTAAATCTTAAATATGTGCTGGTGTTTATAGACATTTAGGTTTAAAGGCATGATTTCGGATGATAAAAAAATCAATACCAAGTACCTCCTCTCACTCGAATGAAATAAGGAGTAGCATTAATGCATCAAAGCAAATTAAAACACTTGTTTGGACTTTGTAGGAAACTAAAGGAAGAAACTAAGTTGCATTGGATACGAAATAGTGTTGTCAAACCATGCTCTGCCTGAAGGATGCCAAGAATTGTGTTCTTACGATACTGCCCACACGGATGCACCTATTTCAATTGAAACATTAAGAATTAGGCAATAGGTATATGATGTCCTAGAGCATTAAAATGGACATTCAGTTTCAATTGAATCCTTGTAATAGAAACTTTAAAACAAAAATAATTGTTTAAACTCTGACTTCACGGCCATGAGAAGTTCTTAGGGCCCAAGCTATGACACGACTCATCAACAGTTCAAAATGCAAGAACAAAGATCCCAACAGAAATTCATTAGAAAACCAAAACAAGAAAGCATACAATTATAGACTTATACAATAGAAGAAGTGTTCCAGAGTGAAAACAAGAGTCAACTGGTGAGAACTTACAGGAACTGATGCAGGCTTACAAACGGTTAGCACCTCTGGTTGTTCACATAGTATCTCAACATCCCATGCCATGACTGGTGGTTCATGCCTACATGCTTCAATTGCTTAGCTACTTGTACTTGTTACATCATAGGATTACATAATTTGTAAGTGATGAATTTGTAGTACTTTTTTATCTAAACTCCATAATATGGAACAAAATATAACTTATTTGATTGGGTGACAACTGAAAAGGACATCAAAGCAGAAGAATGTTTTCCTGTGGGGTTAAGGCTTGAGCAGCACAGACCTGTGTACAAAATGGCTTATCTTCTGCGATGATTGAACTATATATGAAACAGGAATTCTCTTCCCGTCGACTTGTATTCGTCCAGCCTTAACAGCAGCTACCTATAGAATCATAGTAACTTTACCGACATGCATTATTCAGTACAATGAACTCACTATTTTGATGTAAAATGAAATAACCTAAACCCATATAAATCCATTTTCAAACCAGAAATAGAGGCAATAGCTAATGATATAAACTGCAGCATGCATTATAACGGCATACATAGTAATTTCTAGACCGGCCTTTAAATTCCTCTGAGAAAAGGTCAACAACAGTCTTCCCTGCCCACCTATTTTTCACCTGTGCACAGAAATTAGGTTGTAAAGGCTAGCATATAATAGGGCTTTAAAGAAGAGTGGCCCTTAACTGGCGTATCAAGGGAGGGAGCGCGTACATGACAGATGAACTCAAAGTAGTACGGCTTGACATAGCGAATGCCTGAACAAATTGCAAAGAACATGAAATGCATGAAAGATCCTACCTCCGTCCGGGAGTGTTTGTTTGTCCGCGGAGGGAGAATAGGAAGAAGGTAATTACCGTTGCTGTAAATGTAATCATGTCGCTCCGGTGGGTTCGCAGGAGTTTGCCACATTATCATCTCCATGTTCTCTTCCTTCCGCCTCCTTCTGGCTTATACTCAAACGTTTTTTCCCTGTTTTGGATACTCTCGTGTGCCGCACTCCCGCACAGATGACAGTAAACCGAAAATTTATGGAAAAGACCAAAAAAGAACCCTATTGAGAAATTAGAAATCATCCAATATAGCACCATTAAGAAATACAACATACATATCTAGCACTCTCATAATCTTGGTATGGAGAATATTCAAAGTTCCTAGATGGGATATCATATGGTGGTTCCTCATGGTAGGGATAGTAGTCAAACCCATTCTTGACTTATAGTCATCATCATATGTGTTCTGATGTGGGTGGTAAAGTGGATGGGTTTGAAACGGAGGGCGGTTGGGTGATTGGTAGAAAGAAGGCGGACCGTAATAACCACTGGAAATATCCATAGTAATTATTACGGGTGGTTGGTGAAAAGAAGTGAGAAGATCGTTCTAACCAATCTTCACCCAAGTTAATTTAAAAGAAATTAAACTAATGTCGTGCCACTCCCCGGCAACGGCGTCATTTGACAATTGTAGTTTTTTGGGTAGTGAACTTTCCCCGTAAAGGGTTAGTTTTCTCTCCGAGTGTCGTATCTCTCGAGGAGTGGACGAAGGGAATTAGCTTAATTACTCTAACTAGGCGAAGATTAGGATTGGTTTATGAAAGTCTTCTCGAGACGATTATAAAAAAGGCAGAGTAAAAATAATAAATAAAAGTCACATAGTATAAGTATAGATCTCGATCTAGGGTCGGGACATTATTTGGATTTATTTTATTAAATTAACAGTTGGAATAATAATATTTCTATTACTACTCATCCAGTTCTAGATTTGTACTTAATCCGTTGCACTTGAATATAATACCCCTTTGGCATACAATATCTTCTCGATAAATAGCTAATTAAATCTTTCGAGAATAATTAATTAAATAAGGCAAGAACAGTAGACTACTCATTCCGACATTAATTTAACATAATAAACAACCAAACTAGTCCGGACCCAGAGATCCGGACCCTAACTCATACTATGCAAACATAAATTAAAACAACATCTTATTAAATAAAGTAAACTTACAACTTCCGTACAAGCGGAATTGAACAGATCTGGAGTCAAAACCTCCGAAAATACTTCAAAACTAATATTAATGCTAATATACACGAAATATAGAGTAAAATGAAGGAGAAACCTGAAATGGGTTGTAGAATGGTGTGGAATGAGATGAGGGCCGCGCTATATTTATGAAGGCAGAGAGTGCGGGTGTTCAACTCCTTGGGCGTCCAACTTTAGACGCCCGTACCCAAAATAAGTGTTCCGTCCAGTCGCCGATCGCCACGTGGAATTGTCTCGTCACTCCTGCTTGCTTGGGCGTCCAACTACCACAGGCGTCCAACTTTGGATGCCCAGGACCCGAATCCAGTGCCCAAATTGCCTCCAAATGTGATTCCTTCGAGATCTTGGCCCATATTTGCTCCGTTTGACTTCCGAACACTGATTTCTATATCCGAAGTATTGTGATCATAAAAATCTGAAACTTTTTCTCCAATTTGGGACATAAAATTGACAAATTCACTTAATTTAATTTGGAGCCCGTATTTTATTCTTCTAGAGACGAAACATAAGTTTTGTCACTAATAGACACCTTTAATGAGTAAATTTATTACTATTTTCGTGTAATAACGCTTAAAATATGTAGAATAAAATAAGAACAAAATGAACTTATCAACAACTAACAAGAACAACTCTATTTACTACCAAATGCTAAATTCCCAAAAACGATAAAAATAAAAAAAACATATGGAAACCTCTTAATCAACCAGAATCTGAAACTTTGGGCATTACCCAACACATCAAACTTGCAGCTAAAAATCACCCAAAATACAAAAGAAAAATAAATGTCCAAATCACTGAACAAAAGCACCTAAAGCACAGCCATGCATAATGCAAATAGAATTAAAAAAAATGTCCAAAACAAAAATTAGCAACAAAGAAAAACGCTAAAACTCCAAAACACAAACATTTGCAAATACACTTCTAATTACACAAACATTTGCTCTCTACTTCCAAAAGCTAAACCCCAAAACGTTAAAACCTCAAAAATAAGCAACAACCCTTTTCATCTACCAGAATTTGAATTTTAAGGCATTACATAACACAAATCATACTTGCGCACAAAAAACCCCCAATTCACAAAAGAAAAACAAATGCCGAAATCACCCAACAAAGACGCTTAAACACAGCCATGAATAATGCCAAAAATCCAAACTTTAACATCACACCGTCATATAATCAACGGGAAAATCGTACCTGAACCTTCTCCATCCGTTTACTAAGAGGAACTTCATCCAGAGCATCATCCTCTGCCAATGGTTGTTCTGGACCACGCAATGCATCCTCGGTAGCCATTGCAAGCCTTGCACTGCGCCTCCTTTGCGGAATAGATCTCTCAGGTGTTCTAAACTCCGTAGGATTCATAATTCCAGATTTTAATTTTGGGAAGTGCGAAACAACTGCCTGATTCACCGAGCTCAAAATCTGGAAGGCATGCAACAGATGATAATTACAAATCTTTCGCCTGACTAGCCGCCCTCTGGAATCGGAAAATGCACTGCCACCTTCAAATCAAAACGTTTCCTTCTTTAAAGTACAAGGACAAAACCGGAATTGCACATCACATTAATTAGCGGAAATTACTACTCTCAATAGCAGTGCTGAATACGTACTAAAACATAGGGGTGGGCATGAAATCCGTTCCCGTTGGACCGTTCCGAAAAATCCCGAATCTGTTTTGTAATTATACCGAATAATTGGGACACCATTTTTTTATCCCGAACCCATTCCGTCCCATTATCAAATGGGACATGAGCGGGACAACTTAAATTTATACCGATCCGTCCCGTTTATTCCGTTTTATCTACTCTATTAATATATAATTCTAATTCTATACACTTGTTCTTTAATTAATTAAGTTAACTTCAAGTTTCAACCCAAAATTTATTAAATTTATTTGGTCTTAACTCCAAAGTCCAGATTCGAGAGCCAAATTTCGTCCCATTATTAAGCTAATTCACTTTTAAAGTTTTAATACACAATTCTGTAAAAATCCAGTGGACAGTGGCTAATTGTTTGGTGTACACAACTAGTTTTCGGATGTCTTTGGGAGTTAATGACTTTTATTTATGACATTTTGTGACTTTTGGATTGAGTAACCCCTTCTTATATTCGGGATTATGACAAAGTGGGACGACCCGAATCCGTCCCGGTTTGTTCCGATCCCGAATTTTATGGGACAAACCGGGATAAGATTGTAACCCGAACCGTTCTGGACCGTTTATATATAACGGGACAAGACGTGGAACAACCTAAATCCGGACCATCCCGATCCGTGCCCACCCCTACTAAAACATGTACAATAGTGCTATCTAAGTGCTTCTCCCTATATATTGAACAATAATACTACATTGGGAAATAAAAATATATGGTACTACATTAAAAAATTAATATATTTTAGAACCTTTTAGGTAATTTGTATGCCCGGTCGGGAAGATAAAACTTGGAGGGAGTACTAAAAATGTAAAAAATTAGAGTAAATTCCATAATTGGTACTTTATAACATGGGGCTTTCCATATTTAGTCCTCTATTATCAAGTATTACCCCCGTAGTTCTTTTTTTAAGGGTACCTTTCCACAAATGGTCCTTTTTTTATATTCTGCCGTGTTGGTGTTAATTTAAAGGCTAAAAATATAATTTGACGTCAACATTATGTCTAGTGACGTGTTCTGATATTGGTTAAACGGATAACACAAAATAATGACTATGATTGTGGGCTAGGATTCTGACGAAGGATCACATTTGTAGACTATAGTTATCGTAAAAAGCGACTGTAATTCGCAAACGACGCAAACGGAACAGCCTTTGGAATTGTGTATGACAAAAAAGATATATTATCATTATGAAATTACACTTTTAGCCCTCAAATTAACAACAACATGATAGAAGATCAAAAAAGGACTATTTGTGGAAAGGTACCCATAAAAGAAGGACTACTTGAGTAATATTTGATAATAGAAGAATAAATAGAGAAACCAGCCTGTACCCTAATAGAAAAATTATAGAAATTAGGACCGGTCATTTTGAAAGAGCCCGAATGATTCTTCTTCCATGAGTTCCATCTCTACATCCCTGTTTCACTTTTTAGATCTCAAAGTCGAGCATTGTTAATGACGTCCGAGGAGCAATTGATGCGCGCCGGCGGTGTAGGGACGATGTACGTGCAGATGCACTCAGAGTCTTCAACGTTGCCGTCGATGTCGTCATCGTTGCTGACGCCTCAGCAACAGCAGCAGAGATCCGAGGCGGCTCATATTTTTGATGAGTTGCCTAAGGCTACCATCGTCCAGGTGTCTCGTCCCGACGTTGCCGATATCAGCCCCATGCTTCTTACTTATACGATTGAGTTTAAATACAAACAGGCAATATTTCTTTACCCGATTCTATTTATATATAGATTTATGTCATGAATATGGATTGGAAACAAGCACCCTAAAGCTTCTCAGTTTTCATTTTTCTTTTACTATTTCAAACGTTGAGCAGTAATGATTTTTACAGTAAAAGAAATCATTTACTCTCCGTACTATGTTAATCTTGAAAGTTTTTAGCAACGCTGAAACCCACACCTATTTTGGTGCTTGTAATATTTAATCCTCTATTTAGTTTTGAAAGTATCAGGAATAGACCATTCAAACACTAACTTCGCAATTCTTGGCACTGGAATTAGTTTGATTTTTTTATTTTAAAAATTACTTTGCGATCTTTCTGCTCACAGAAGAGACTCTCTTTCTCCTAGTTTTCAGAATCTTGAGTTTGAATGAAACTTCAAGTTCAGGTCCCTGGAGGTCAATTGAGTACTGAAGTCTTACTGAAATTTGAATTTGAATTTAGACAATAAATGCTACCAAGAATGATGTAGCATAAGGATACTGGCTTATTTCATGGAGGTGGGGAGAACATAACTTGTTTGATGCACCAACATATTTGGTTGTCTTCTGGAAAACCAAAGAAAAGAGTGTTTAACAGTGAACGTGATTGCATGGATTTAGAAACTCTAGACTCGATTGCTTGTGCGTGGATTGATAAGAAATCCTTCGTTTTTATGAGATAATTGTTCTTCAGTTGTATGCATATGCATACAAATAAAGAGTAAGATGTTACCTTATTTGGTTGTCTTAAGCCACAAGTTACTGAAGGTAAGAGTATCTTTTTACATCCCTCGAACATTGATACTCTAGTCAATTGTCACTTCATTTTTTTTATGAGATGACTGTTCTTCAGATTACCCAGACCCTATTTTTTGTGGAATTCTAGTGGTATTGTTGTTATTGTTGTTATTGTTGTTTGTTCTTCAGTTTTATGCATACAAATAAAAAGAAAGATGTCACCTTATATGGATGTGTCAAGAACTTGCACTTAAGCCACTGGTTAAAGACTTTCTTTTTACATCCTTGAAACATTGACAATGTACTTGGGCCTTGAAAATATAGAATTTCATTCAGTATGGAAATCTAAATTTGGGCTGTCCTTAATCTGAGGAAATATCTAATAATCCCAAATTTACGGCAGACACCCAAAATGGCCCCATATTTAATGACATTTGAATGCTGTCACGAAAGATGCTGACATAACATAACAGTTCTGATGATTTTCAGTATCCTTGGTTGCTTGCTTTTTTTTCTATGAGGCAAGAACGTTAGATTTACAAGGGAGTCATTCATTTGTAAGTGACTAAGTGGGACTGCTTGAAAAATCCTAGTTATTGCATGATCATAGACAAAATAGCGGGACTTAGGACATGATAGAATCTGCACACCATTTGACTATAAATTCCGGCATAGATCTGCTAAGGTAAAAACATAATTTGTTGTTATCCAAGTCTTGTTGCTTCTTTTTAGGAATCTTAGATTCAAATGATAATAAGTTCTTGATATGGTTAGTTTAAATTGCCTTGGTTATTGCCCAAATATATTTAGATGTGCTATATGAATTAAAAGTTGGGTAACGTTTCTGATCCAATACTACCACAATGCAGTGGAATGCATCTATATTATTGCATTATCTTTTCTTTTATGTGGTGATGGCAGCACCATACTTCCATGGGCGAACTGACTATAGCACTTGAATATAGAAATGGAATGATCTAGGGAAATATTTGTTAAGCATGATGTTTAGTGTGTAGTAGAAGTGGCGCTTGAGCATGTTGTCGGCCAATTCTGGTGACAACATATATTGACAGGATCACCAATATGAGAGGAGCAAACTTGGCGGAGTCCTTGGCAGTTGTTTGAAATGATGTAGATTGGCGAAAAACTAAGTGTTCTCCAACCGATACTGGCCATGCTTGCAGGCACAATAATACTCTTCGGGTGAGGTTTCCAGCACTGTGATGCAGCGAGGCGATAGGCTTTGTGGCGGGTTCAGATTTTATGGACCAATATCGGGGAATAACACTCGTCAGAAAAGTTTCCATATAAACAAGAACAGACTGTTCATGCCTCAAAATAATTTCTTCTGAACTACGTGAAATGCGATAAGATGATTCTTTTATGATAAAAGTGGAGTAATACAAGACCTGACATACTTCTTCTAAGTTTTCCTTAACCCAAGTGCTCTTAATGAGTAATGACATCATAAAAAATGACATCTTAAGTATGGGTGTCATGCTTTAATATAAACTTTACAACTTTTTCATATGTGCTATACTCTTTTCTGCATTCCTAAATTTTGATTGAATTCCTTTTGTTTTAAGCAGAATATTGAAGGTCCTAACATTTTATGTCTCATGGCCTGAAGTATATATCATTTTGTTTCTTTAAATGTGACTTTAGTTATCAATGGAATATGATATTTGATGTCTGCAATGCATCATTGTTGTGTTCTATAGTTCAAATGGCGACTAGTCAAGAAGGCATCACAAGTATTTTATTTACATTTCACATTAAAGAGGCGGCTATTTATTGAGGAAATTCATGAGAAGCAGGAACAGGTATAATTTGGATTTGATTATCTTTCACTATATGGTTATCAATATTTGCAATATAAGACACTATAACTGAGGAATTTCCAAATTTTCTGACTGGAATTTCATTTCACTCTCTATTTAAGGTTAAAGAATGGCTTCAAAATTTAGGAATTGGGGAAATCATACCTCTTATGCAAGATGATGATGACCCGGATGACGAGACTCTTCCAATGCGTGTAGATGAAAGTGCAAAAAATAGGTGATTGTTAATTCAACAACATTTTCCATAGAAGGAAAGCATGAGCTCCATTGGTCCCATTATAATAGCCGTCGTTCTTACAGGTGGTTTTTTGTTCAGAGATGTTCCATCTAGTGCTGCTCTTCCAATAATCCGCCCCACACTTTTAAGGCAACATTCTATGTCAGACAGAGCGAAAGTAGCAATGCAGGGTTACTTAAATCACTTTCTTGGGAACATAGATATTGTAAATTCACATGAGGTATGCATGCTATCTTATACAGAGTACCTCGTAGTTAAGTAGTTTTTTTAAAACTGGTCTTGTGAATGATGATGGTGGCTTGCATTACATTGCGCACTGTTATATGTTGGGGTATCTATGAATAGCAAGCCACAACCAAACAAGAACACACGCAAAACAGAAAACAATACAGAGAAAACGGAACACAAGATTTATAGTGGTTTGGTTGGCTGACCTAAATCCACTTTGCAACTAGGGTTTTTATTATTCAGGTGCTCACAGAATTACAAGTACAGAGATCGCTATTTAATATTTTTGAAGACTAAATCAGGGTTAAAAACTTAATCCCCAAGTTAGGCCCAAGTCCACATGGAGAATTAGGGCCAGCTAAACTAAAAACCTAATTTACTGCCATATGGGTCGAACCAAGACTAGGGCCGGCTGCCCGTCTTGGTCGAGCCTCCACACTCAATTCACCCAACAATCTCCCACTTGGAGGCCCAAACAACGCCACTTAGTCTTCAGCATTTGTAACTCTTGTAATCTTCATTTACCACTAGCTGCAGCGGCCTTCTCTTCAGTTACTTGAAAGCCCGTTGAAGCTTCCACTGAGCTTCAATTCATCGGTCACAACACGTGACTCGTTTCTCTTTCTCTGCCAGCTCCGAGTGTGATGAGAACCTACATTCTCCAAACCAAGCAAATAGTTTACAGGAAAAACTTTCAACGCCTGAATACCGGTTTTCCTAACCCACTTTCACGACCTGTGCTCCCAATGTCACAAAATTCCCTGTTCCGAGCTAGTTCATTCTGAATCTGTACTCTTTCTCTGGGTTTCTCCTTTGCAAAGGTAACCCTCTTTTGCACACGAGATTCTTTGAACCAAACCTTTTCTTTTACAAGAAGTGGACTTGCTCCTTTTGGAGGTATCTCGACCATATATAACGAACCCCTTTTCTTGCCACGAACAACAATAAGATTTCCTTTGACCACCTTCCACTGGACCAGACTTAACATCAAGACCCGAATCATCCAACTGCCCAACTTAGATAAGCATCCTCTTCAAGCTTGGAATGACTCTGACGTTTTTCAAAGTCCACGTGGCTCCAATTGAAGTTTTCAAGTCAATATCCCCCATGTCAGAATTTCATCGTTACCAAGTTGTACTTTACCAAAGTCCCCAATCTTCAGATTTTTCATCATCTTCATGCTGTGTGTGGCATCTATACTCTTAGAATATAAATAACTGTTCGTGGGCCACAACCACAAGCTTGAGCTTTTGGTTGAATTGGTTCCTTGACATGGCCTCGTTGACTAAGAGGTCACAGGTTCGAAACTCAGCGTCACCCAGTTTTTAAAAAAATTAATGTTTCACGAGCAAGGCTTGAAAAAGACTACGCCTACACGTGAGGGGGCGTGTTAGAATATAAATAACTCTTCCTAGGCCACAACCACAAGCTCGAGCTTTTGGTTGAATTGGTTCCTTGACATATACTACTCTCTACGCTACAGATTAACACATCATCACTATTGTCTAAGCAGCTTTCTGTAGTATTCACTTCCTTTTTACCTTTCGGACACTGACTTCTAAAATGTCCCCTCTGTTTGCTATCCCAACACGCAATTCCTTCCCGATGCTTGGACCGACTCTTGCCTCTACCACATTTGCTTCCTCTTTCATTCCTTCTTCCTCTACCTTCAGTGTGCACTCGAAGAATCCCCTGAACTTTTGATAAAACTTGAGATTGGTGGGAAAAATAAATGAAGGATAGTCTTTATTAAACTATGAAATCAGGATCTATCTTCATAAATAATAAAGATGAAGGGAAATCTTTATCAAAATAAGAGTAAGAATTTTAAACTCATATAATTAATAAAGCCAAGGAGAATCTCCAATGTTAAAATACTATGTAATCTTCCATAATCAATACACATGACTAGATGTCTATTTATACAAAGAGACTAACTTGTACTAGTAATAACTTACTAATAGTTACCCACTAACAAAGTGGGAATAACTTGCCCTAAACCTCCCACTAACTAAGTGGGAATGACTGACCCCTAACTTCCCACTAAGTGGAATTAAATAATTATTAAATGATAAATATGAAAAATAAAAAGACTCAACAAATAATTAAGTAGTGTTAATTACTTAAACCAGCTTGGAACCTATCATTACTCCCCTCTTGGAAACACGACTTGTCTTCAAGTCGTGACTTGGCAACCTGATCACTTCAATGCTTCATTGTATATCCGGGGGCTTTGGTAGGGGTGGCAGGTAAACAATATAAGAACTAGCTTTGAGAAACTGTATTTGTAATGGGGCATGCACCGTTGAAAAGAAGATGCTGCTATGGTAGTGCACAAGGGATTACAAGAAAACGTTGAATTTGTTGTGGCAGATGTATTAATGTCCTTTCTGCAATAAAGTATTGTGGATCTGTTGTTAGCTCTAGTGAGATTCTTAAGTGAGGAGAAGAATGTATCCGGCTGTTTTTTGACGCTTTTTTCTTCCATGAAAGAAGATATGGTGTATGAAGGCTCTTTGTATTGGAAGAACAACCTTGACTCGAATTGCCATTGCCGATTGCTCTCCAAGAGAGATGCTCTAGTCAAATTCATGGGGGGGGGGGATGTGAGGAAAACACCGTTGCATTCACAATCAGGGGCCAACTTAGAGTTGCAATTGAAATTCTCTTGTCCTCACGTAGGAAATTACTTTTTGGATTAGAGGAATTGAAGCGGTTGGCTGCAAAGGAATTGGGGTTGGGCTTATGAACAATCTTGCGCTTCTGTTTTTTAATTTTCTTTCCTTTCACCTCTAGATGGAATTTACTAGATGTGATTCTTTTGTAGGGTGTCACATAATTAACAGCCGTACCTTGAACTTTAGATGCTGTCTGTTTGGAATTAATGACATCAAGGCGAGCTACAATGCAAAGCAATTGGTGTACTTCATAAGGAGTATAACTGTTGGATGAGAAATTGTACGGAGTAAATGGAGAAACTAAATTTTTGCATAAGGAACCTATAAAGATCTTATGGCTCTGATTCCAAATGATAGAACTCGAGATCGGTGGGAAAAATAAATGAAGGATAGTCTTTATTAAATTATGAAATCAGGATCTAACTTAAAAAGTAATAAAGATGAAGGGAAATCTTTATCAAAATATGAGTAAGACTCTTAAACTCATACAATTAATAAAGCCATGGAGAATCTCCAATTTTAGAATACTCTGTAATCTTCCATAATCAATACACATGACTAGATGTCTATTTATACAAAGAGACTCTAACTTCTACTAGTAATAACTTACTAATAACCACCCACTAACAAAGTAGGAATAACTTGCCCTAAACCTCCTACTAACTAAGTGGGATTGACTGACCCCTAACTTCCCACTAAGTGGAACTAAATAATTATTAAATGATAAATATGAAAAATAATAAGACTCAACAAATAATTAAATAGTGCTAATTACTTAAATATAATATGACTTAGCCAACCAGCTTGGAACCTATCAACTTCTGCTCTTATGTCTTCACCTAGAATCAAGTACCGAATTCCTTTAAAAGTAAACTTAGTAGTACTATATGCACTACTAACTGCAGTCACTGTTCCATACCAACTGTCAGGCAAAGAAGGTAAAAGCAGCGACGCCTGAAGTTCATCATCAAACTTAATTCCAACTGATCCTAACCGAGTTATGGCTGAATTAAACTGGTTGATGTGAATGGTAACTGAAGCACCCTCCCTCATTCTGGTGTTAACCAAAACACCATGTTCAATGCTGACGGTTTCTCGTTCATATTCGACAAAGCTTTCATTAACCCATGCGTAGTCGTTTCATTGACTATGTTGGAAGCAACACTCTTCGCAATGACAACCTGACCACTCCCAAAGCTTTCTTGTCCAAAATTGCCGAATCTGCATCACTAATCTTTTCTGGCTTTTCTCCCGATAACGTTTGGTATAAGTCTTTCTGATAAAGAACATCCTCAATTTGCATCTTCCAGAACCCAAAATCACTTCCATCAAACTTTTCAATCTTTATCTTTTCTTCTGCCATTGTTTCTACACACGGTTGAAAGAGTGATCTGAGATTGAAAAACAAATAATGAACTAACCGTTTGGCAGTGGCTAATCAAAACCCTAGCAGCGGTGGCTAAACAAAACCCTAGCGGCTGTGGCTGTTCACAGTGGCGGTGCAGTTACTGTTCACAAGACAGTACAAACCGTATTCTGCAGCAGAAACTATGACGGTGGCGGAACTGATCTTCAAACCATAGTTATCAAGGCGTCGCCTAAGCGTCGCCTAGGCGACGCCTAGGCGTCTGGGCGAGATATTGGGGACGCCAAATTGGTCGCCTAGCTTTTTCCGCCTAGAATTTGACTTGTCATCTATTAAAACGCGGCAGGTTACCTGGAAAGATCTGAATCGCAGCAAAGATCCGGAAATTGAAGGTAAAAACGTGGATTCGAATCGTATAATCGTCCAATTGAGGCACAATTCGATCTTTGAAGATGCGATGCGGGTCGGGCGAGGAAGTGAATTTGCTTCTCGTCGGCTTAATTAAAAGATTAAGCCGGCTACTCGCGGGTTACGACCCATTAAAAAGTATAAGGAACAAGACTTTGTGGGTCGGGTCGGGTAGTTTATGTGCCTAAATTTATTTTAGAAAACATAAATGGGTAGTGGGGGTACTGTACACTGGGAACTACTCTAAAAATTAAAAGAAATACGGAGTAATACTTTGTGGGTACTGTATCTGCCCTTAATTCATTTATGGAGATGGAGTAGTGGGGGGTACTGTACTGGGAACTATTCTGAATATTGCAATTTCTAATAACTCGTACTATTCTATACGACTATACCTAAAGGTTTTTTTCTTCATGTCGTTTGGTATCTGACTTGGTGAGTTGCTTCTTTGAATTTTTTATACTCCCTATTTATATATTATCAACATTTTGGTACTTATTTTTTTAGTATCACTCTACTATTTAATCATTTTATTTATTTATTTCATACTATGCGTGTATACATTAGTACCTAAAAAATTATCAATAATGACATATCCCACTCGCCCAAGGGACGCCTAGGAGGGTGCCTAATCGCCTAGGCGTCTGGAAGGTGGTCTAGCGCCCAGCCTCGCCTAGTCGCCGTAACAACTATGCTTCAAACCCTTCGAAACCCTAACCTTTGATTTGAATCTGATCTCCACGAACCTGATGGAAGTCTTCAACGATCACGAGCCTAAGGCTCCGATACCAGTTGTTGGGGTATCTATGAATAGCAAACCACAACCCAACAATAACACACACAAAACAGAAATCAAAATGGAGAAAATGGAACACAAGATTTATAGTGGTTCGGTCGGCTGACCTAAATCCACTTTGCAACTAGGGTTTTTATTATTCAGGTGCTCACAGAATTACAAGTATGGAGATCACTATTTATGAAGACTAAACTAGGCTTAAAAACTTAATCCCCATGTTAGACCCAAGCCCACATGGAGAATTAGGGCAGGCTAAATTAAAAACCTAGTTCACTGCCATATGGGTCGAACCAACACTAGGGCCGGCTTCTCTTCTTGGTCGAGCCTCCACACTCAATTTGCCCAACACTATATCCTGCCAGGCTGCCACATATGTAGAAGAAAGCTGGTATGCAACCTTACCTTTATATTCATGGAGGATTTTTCTCACGTTGAATACATGACCATACTGTCACAGTGTCAACCCTTAGGCATAATAGCTTGAACTCAGTCTTACTATTTGACAAGCCAGCTAGTGCTCAACCCGAGCTCAAATTTTGCTGATCCCCAATCAAGCTTCACTGAGTGATCGACTTGTTTGCTTCCTTATTGTTGAGCAGTTAGGTAATTGTGTTAGTCCTGTTAGTTGAAATTAATTTTTTAGTTTCATTGTCATTGCCGTGAGTAGCTCTTTTTCCCAAAATGTGCTCTTAATAGTCTTATTGTTCCAGTTTTGAATTTAATAACTTGCATGCTTTAGGTTTGCAAGTTTTTGGAGGTTTCAAGTTTGTCCTTCTCTTCAGAGTATGGTCCTAAGCTCAAGGAAGATTACATTATGGTTAAACATTTACCCAAGATACAGAGCGGTGATGATCATGCAAAATGTTGTTCATGTAATTGGTTCAGCTGCTGTAAAGACAACTGGCAGAAGGTAACATAACATCCTCTCTTGAAATTCTGACTGAAACATACACAATTGAGCTGGTTTTTTGTGTAGTCTGAAAACCATATACTCCGTATATGTTAGTTCTTGATTCTGCTCATTAAAATGGGTAACATTCCTCTTAGAAGTAGTTGTTTGAACATGGAATTTGTTTTTAGGCAATGTCCATGGCAGGAGTATGTCTCTTGGAAACAGCCTCCCTACTTTCGGGTAGGGGTAAGGTCTGCATACATACACCCTCCCTAGGCCCTACTCTCGTGGGATCCAATTGGGTTGTTGTTGTTGTGCCCCTTCAGGTTCACCTTTAGTGGTAAAAATTTAAAGAATAAAGTGAACCCCTCCACTACAGAGTACTAGTATTTGCTGATGAAGAGATGAACCAGTCAGTTTTTTTATTTAAAAATAGTGGTGTCAATATGAAGATACTTAGTGACACTTATTTGCATGAATAGAGGGTGTTGCTGATAGATTCACAATGACTGGTCTCTTTACTTGTTTGCATGTGGTTTTCTGGCAAGCCTGTGATATCAGTTTAACACACTTATCTCTCATGAGCAGCAACTTCTGCAGTACTGTTTTTGTGTATATGTTTTATTACGCAAATTAGATGCTGCCAGATGATAAGCTAGTGATCGTGTTAGTTTACACTTTGTGTGGCATATGTGCGTGTGTCAGATGACTCCAGTCAGATGACACCTTACGGTGAGATGACATGCTACATTCAGATGACGCAAAGCTCACCACTGGCCATTGCAAAGCTCACCAGGACAACTACAAAGCTCACCAAACTATAAGGCAAAGCTCACCATATTTTTTCAACACTTTGAATTTTTTTTGAAAAAAAAAATTAAAGGAAGGGATGCTGACTAGACTTTGACCATTGACCGTTGACCATCACCGGAGATTCCCTGCCGTCGCCGGCCTCCGCCGGCCGCTGACTTCTGCCGTCAGCTGCCGCCGTCCGCCGCGCCGCCGCTGCTGACCGGATGTTGACCGGTGTTGCTATTTTATTTTTTATTAATTTTTTAATTTCCAAATTAAAAAAAAGTGAGTTTTGGTGTTCAAAGTGGTGAGCTTTGCTTTATTCCCAGGTGAGCTTTACATTGGCCATTGGTGAGCTTTGCAGTGTAATGTGGTGAGCTTTGCGTCATCTCACCGAAGCATGTCATCTCACTGTAAAGTGTCATCTCACTGGAGTCAATCCCATATATATATATATATATATATCCCATATATATATATATATATATATATATATATATATATATATATATATATATATAAGCCACCGTCAATCTTTAAGCTCCATTTGCAAATTCCATGAATCTAAGTACTCCAAATGAAGTCTCTGTTCAACATCGCAGCACCGCACTACATCCCCTGCCTTCTGCAATAGACCAACAGGGAGAAAAACTATTCCATATCAGGTAGCAACCAGATAGAATCAGGAGTCTCAATGTTAGAAAAATTACAAATATATTAGGGCGAAATGAATTCTAGGTCAGAAAACCAACATAGATTTGGATGAAGAGAAAGTCGGTGAAGACACACACACGAGGATGAGCATGAATTTGTAATTGGGAGTTGGAATTGGTGAATTTGAAGGGTTCTTTCAATTTTAAGATAAGGGTGAGAATCAGTGAAAAACGAGAGAGGAAGTTGAAAATATGGTTTTGTCGGATTCGGAGAAAAGGGTATTTACGACCTTTTCATCCAATTTAGCTCCCACATTGCTATTTCTTCCAAAATGAAAGTGGACCAAAAAACCGGGACGGAGGGAGTATATATGTGTGCGTGTATATATATGTATGTATGTATGTATTGTGTGTGTGTGTGTGTATATATATATATATATATATTGAACGTGCTATAAGTGTCTTAGATTTATGTTTTCACTTCCACAATTCCTCCTGGAGTTACCTACGCTTTTGGTTATATACAGGTATGGGCTGTATTGAAGCCAGGATTCTTGGCCTTCCTTAAGGATCCATTTGACACTCAGCCTTTAGATATAGTTGTTTTTGATGTGTTGCCTGCCTCAGATGGGAGATTATCATTGGCTAAAGAAGTAAAGGACGGCAATCCATTGCGCCATTATTTTAGGGTAAGAAATGTATAACTTTTTCAACATGCTCTTTTGTTAGCATCAGTATCAAGTGAGACTGAAAGTTGCAGATGTGCCTAGATGGATCATAGACACTAATTTAGCGTTTTTATGGAATTATTGTTTCTCATCCTTTTATTGCATGCCCAGTTATAATTAGTGCAAAATCTTTACAACAACAACAGAATGACAAGCCTATTTCAATTGGATCATTTACGTGCACTAAATGTGAGGTCATCTACACATTTTCATCTTCCACTTCTTTGTTGGTTTGTAAGTGTGCACAACTTGCTATGACCATTTGGACCCAAGGTTAGTTAATCTCTTGATTGTTAGCCCATTCCAAAGACCGAGCAAAAGCCTAATCTATTCACCAGCCCAATAGGCTTAATACTACTCCACTGGATCTCCATTCTTAAGTGCTCCCAGGTGTTGCCCCTTCTGAGAGTGAAAGCTAGGTGGTGAGGATCCCCAGAGACTTGTCTTGGTCCCTTGTCTTGGTCCCTCTCATCCATCTTGACCAGGGGTATCCTCCTCTATATATGGTGTGCTGAAAAATCAAGAGCATTCTATTATCAAATGTTCTTTGGTTTTTGATTGTTGCCCTAGTCCTAGTTGATTTAGAAGTACTAAGTTCTAGTTTGCTTATGATTGTTTGCTCTAGCTCTAGTCCTAGTCAGTTTAAGAATATATCATACAGTAGCTTGAGCCTATAAAAAAGACATCTAGCTTAATTGCTAAACCTATCAATTGCTATTTGCTTTACAATTGGTATCAAAGGAGGATGATTCAACCCGGATCCGTGGCACTCCAGAATGTCAAATTCTTGCACCCATGGAAATTCAGATCAAGAGAGATTGTGACTTTTGGAGCAATCTGTCAATGATCTTCACTCTTCAACGGATACCATCTTACAAATTGCAACTCCAACCAAGAAAAGCAACAAGCACAAAAAGAAATACACAATTTCTTTCCTATCTGGAACACCCACTTCAGATGACTCATCAACTAGAAAAGACATATCACATGGAAGAAATTTAGAAAAGGAGTCCTTTTGCATTTTGGAGGAGGAACTTATGAGGAAGCGGATGAAGCGATGCACAGGCTTAAGCAAATATGGAGCAATAAGGGTTATCTGCAAGACTTTGAAAAGTTGATGAATCAACTACACCACTTGCCTGAAAAAAGCCTTACTGGGAGTGTTTCGAGCAAGAATGAAGGACGAGATAGCAAGGGATGTAGGATTAATGAAGCCAAAAATTTGTAGAAAGCAATAGACTTAACTAAGAAAAGACAAGCAACTAGTGCAATGAAGAGACGTACCTGCAACGAGGAAAAGGCTCTCAAGATTGCAACAGCCAGCCTCTACACTAGGGGTGGATATGGTCCTGTTCCAATTACAGAACTGGAGGTTTCCGGTCTCTAAAATGGGGGTATCAAAACCAAAATCTATTGTTACCGGTATGGTTACAATTAAGTCTCACTGGCGGTTTCGGCTCTGGTTTCAATCCATTTATTAGTTCTTAGAAAATAAATATATTGAAAAGAAATGCATTTAGATATTGGGTTTAACAAAAAACATAAATCTTCTCCCAAATTTAGTTTACCACTCCGTATTAGATTATAAATACAAATAAAAAAAATGGAACAAAGAACTGACCATTCTAGATCCAAAAATATAGGAATTGAAACCATACCCTGTTTCTGGTTTTGGTTCTCTTGTATCAGTTTCGATATGGTCCTGTTTTGGTACCAGTTGAGGATTGGAGCCGTGTCCACCCCAACTCTATTCTCACAACCACAATGTGGAGTGCTCCAAATAGAACTTCAAGAAGGCTGACCTGGACTGAAATGCAACAAGAAGGGAAAAAGAACTTCACTTGAACTGTCATTGTCCTATTGAAATTGGTGAAGGTTCAGAAGGAGAGCAGAAAATATTTGTAGTGATAGAAGAAGAGGATACATGGCTTTCTCTAAGCGCCTTAACTGGAGGAGGAGGGCAAACGTTAATGAGTGGTTGCATTAAAAGATAAGTAGTCTATGCATTAATCAACAATGGATCAAGTTTAAACTTTATACATCCTCAGCTGGAAAGCTTTAGCTTACAATTGAACCAATATTGTCGTTTTGTGTAAGAGTTGCTAATGGTGATAGATTTGAGTGTTGAGAAGAATTCATTGAAGTTGAAGTTGTAATACAGGGATATCAATTCAAAATGGAACTATTCTCTCTGCTAATTCAAAGGATGAACATTGTTCTTGGGATTCCTTGGTTGTCTAATTAAGGGCCAATCACCGCAGGCTATTGCATGCTAATTATGCAATTTATAGAAGCCACACCCTGTTTTCGGTTTTGGTTCTCTTGTATCAGTTTCGATAAAAAAATAAAATGGAACCAAGAACTGACCATTCTGGATCCAAAAATATAGGAATCGAAACCACACCCTGTTTTTGGTTTTGGTTCTCTTGTATCAGTTTCGATACGGTCCAGTTTTGGTACCAAGGCGCAGGTAAGCACTATTGTCTAAAAGGACTCAATCAGAAATCAACTGAAAAGGTGGAACTACAGTCTTCTCTTAGATTGGGACCAAGGCGCAGAATTATTCTGTTTGGAAATAGAAGAAAAAGATGAGAAACAAAAAGAGGGGCAAAATTAGAAACACGAGACAAAGCAGTTGTTAATTGAATTCAAATCCATTCTTGAGGAACCAAATGAGCTCTCATCAACTAGAATTTATGATCAAGTTCATCTCAAAGAAGAGGGAAAGTCTGTCAATGTAGCTTTATACAGATATGCTCACTTTTATAAGAACCAGTTTGAATGGCAAGTTAAAGAAATGCTTAAAACAGAGCTGATTAGACCGAGTAGAAGTATGTTATCATCTCCAGTTCTCTTGGTCAAGAAAAATGTTATGACGGATGTAAGAAAGATAACAAACAACAAAGAAACGAAAAACAAACACACAGATTTAACGTGGTTCACCAACAATATGTTGGATATGTCCACCTAACAGAAGAAAGGAGATCTTTTACTGATTGAGGAGAGAGATTACAGAGGGATTTTCTAGGTAACTACCATTTGTAAATAATGCCTTACAAATGTACCTATATATAAGGAAAGATGGGAGCCAACTTGGCTGCCTAAATCAAGTGGGAAGTGAGCTGTTGACAGCCCAAAACACTGCTGTCATACAGCTGCCCACCTCACCAAACTAGCCACCAACTTGTCCATTTGTCAAGGCCACTTTCCAGGTAGTTTCCAGCCAGTTTACATCCATTCTCCAGCTAGTTTACAGCCACTCTCCAGCAGGTTTCCAGCCAGGTGCAGCCATTGTTGACTAGTCAAATGGGCTGGAATTCAAGGCATTCCAACAAATCTCTACCTTGACTTGAATTCTCTCATAAGACAGTAGAAGCACCAGAATCAGATGTGCAAAGATAACAGATTTCCTCCCAAAAGTGACCAAATGTACCATAGGTAACAGAAGTCCAACCTAGGACACAGATGTCACCAAAAAACAGAAACAGATTGTTTTACTTGAGTTCAATAGTGTCAACACACCAAAACTGGTTTCCCTCACGCCTAGGGTCAGATTACTTAAGCTGAAGCACCAAGAAATGCAAACTCCACCTAGAGTCCAAATGGCTCTTCATAGAACTGAACAGAAACACACGACACTAACTTAGTGTCCCACATGGGCCATGGCTCCACCTGAAGCCCCAGTGCCAGCCCAGATCGCCTGCTCCTTGGGTGCAGAGTGCAGACCTCACTGAGGTGCAGAAAGAGATTTGGGTGATTGTTCTAGGTGATCGATAGTCTCAAACTCTAAATGGAACCTCCACCTTACCATCAAGACATTCATCACCTTTATGAATCTCAGATGATGCAACAACAACAAATCCCCGGAAAAGAAATAAGGTATCATGTTTAATACCTTCCAAAACCACTTTCAAATCCTTGCTGACACTCATAACTCCACCTTTACCTTCAAAACTGAAACCCTTACTGTCAAGACGAGGTCAGATTCTTTGTCAAAAGTAAAACATGCCTAACTTCATTCAAGGTGCAAAATGTACCATCATGAGTCCTCAACCTGATGGACCCTATTCCAACTACCTTGCAGACCATTTCGTTGGCCATGGAAACATCACCCTGGTCTATCTGCTCATAAGTTGAAAACCACTCCTTGCATGGACTAATATAATACGACGCCCCAGAATCAAGAACCCGCACTTCTTTACAATGAGTTTGGTTATTAGCCACTAGGGCCTTTAGTGTTGATGTTGGCTTTTGCCAGATCGGCATAACTTTCTTCCTTTTGTTGTTGCCTCTTTTTCTTAGGATACTCATTTTTCCAATGTCCTTTCACAAACATCATCAGCTCTAGGACCCTTAGAATTTGAATTCCTTCTATTAGATTTTCTTTGTCCCGGACTAATTGATACCCTGATGGCTGATCTTCTATACTAGAACCAGATGCCATATGATGGATTTCTCTTGTATGAAGAGCAGATCTTACTTCTTCAAGAGACAGACTATCTTTCCCAACAATAAAAGAATCCACAAAATTCTCAAATGATAAGGGCAAAGACAGCATCTTCATCATCTACTTTTACATCAATGTTACGTAGATCTAACAAGATGGTATTCAGCTTATCTTGATGCTCTCTAAGGGGTGTACCTTTGTGCATACGGAGACTGAACAGACATTGCTTCAAAAGCAACTTGTTGCTTAAAGACTTTGTCATATACAGACTTTCAAGTTTTAACCACAGACCAGCGGCAGTTTCTTCATCAACAACCTTAGTGATGACATCATCCCCAAGACACAACATGATAGTTGAGTGTGCCCTCTCTTCCAAAGCAGCTAACTCAACATCGTTAGACCTGGCTTCCTTTGATAATGGCGTCCATAAGCCTTGTTGTTTCAACAAGGCTCGCATCTTGATCTGCCATAGACTAAAGCTGTTCCCGTGAATTGGTCGATCTTTATGTTTAAAGCAGACATCTTTCTCACCTAATTACAAACCTCGATTACCCGAGCTTCGATACCAGTTTGTTATGACAGATGTAAGAAAGATAACAAAGAAGAAAGAAACAAAAAAAACACACACAGATTTAACGTGGTTCACCAACAATATGTTGGCTACGTCCACGTAACAGAACAAAGGAGATCTTTTACTGATTGAGGAGATAGATTACAGAGGGATTTTCTAGGTAACTACCACTTGTTGAGAGCCCAGAACACTGATTTCATACAGCTGCCCACCTCACCAAACTAGCCACCAACTTGTCCATTTGTCAAGGCCACTTTCCACGTAGTTTCCAGCCAGTTTACAGCCATTCTCCAGCTAGTTGGCAGCCACTTTCCAGCTAGTTTCCAGCCACTTTCCAGCAAGGTGCAACCATTGTTGACTAGTCAAATGTTCTAGAATTCAAGGCATTCTAACAAAAAAGACGGGAAATGGAGATTTTGCAATGATTATACGGCCTTAAATAAGGAGATTGGAGGACAGATATCCATTCCAACCATAGGAGACATGATGGATGTACTGTTTGGTGTTTAGTTTTATAGAAAACTCAATTTAGGAGCTGGATACCGCCAAATCAATATTCATTAGAAGGAAATTGAAAAGATAGTACTTAGGGCACACAATGGGCACTATGAGTATCTTGTGATGCCCCTGAGTTCTGTAATTGGCCCTTCAACATTTCAAGCAGCCATGAATGATATATTTGGGCCAACATTTTAGGCAATTCATACTAGTATTCTCTGATGATATACGAGTGTATAGTCCTAGGTGGGAGGAGCTTCCCAAGCATTTGAGAACTTCTGAGATTTTGCAACCAAAGCATTTCTACTCTTAGGAATCCAAATATGTTTTCAGAGAAATGAGGCAAAGCATTTGGGCCACTATATCTCAATGGATGGAATTAGAGTTGACAGTAAAAAAATTCAAGCAATGATACAATGGCCTAAGGGGAGCCTTGGCACAATAGTTGATTTGTTGCCTTGTGATGGTGTGGTCATAGGTTTGAGTCCTGGAAGCATCCATCCTCTTGCAGAAATGCAGGGACTGGTCTCCCTACATTACACCCTTGTGGTGGGGCCCTTCTCTAAACCCCCGCTCAGAGTGATGCTTTGTGCACCGGGCTGCTCTCTTAATGATACAATGACCTACAGTAGCAACTAGCAACTATTACTGAGCTGAGGGGGTTCCTAGGATTAACAGGATATTACTGAAAATTTGTGGAGGGCTATGGAGAGATCACAACACCAATTTATAAACTTCTTAAGGAATGTTTTGGTTGGAACTCGGATGTGGAGTGAGCCTTCCAAAATCTCAAGAAATTCATGACTAAAATACCGGTATTAGCTTCACCTGATCTGATTGGTTCTGATTGAAATAAATTTTGATTTGATTTGGTCTTATCTGATCTGAATGTAGTTATATTTAAAACTATTTCTAATCTGGTCCGATTCCAATAAGAATAAGTAATAAGTAATAAAAATAAGTTGGGGAGAACACGGCCTTAGTCCAAAATGGGAGACCATTAACATAACTGAGTTAAGCCACCAATGGAATGAAAAAGCATGGTCTACATATTAAAAAGAGATGTTGGCTATCCTAGAAACCGTTAAATCTTGGAGAACATACCTAATAGGGAGGAAGTTCAAACTTCAAAGTTTTCAGTCCAAAAAAGTTTAAAGCACTTGCTGGAACAAATGATTGTGGAATATACAGGGCTGTTGTTATAACTTGTATTCCCTTTGTGGCAACTCTAACTTTTTAAATTCAGCACCCCTTTGCTTATTATCTTTTTAACTTTAGTTTGTCCTAAATGCTTTTTGGTTCTAACTCTTTGCTCCATCATACATTCACACTCTTTTTAATTTTGGTTTGTCCTAAATGCTTTTTGGTTCTAACTCTTTGCTTCATCATACTAACATTGCTTAAATTTGTTCTTCGGACTCATGGAACAATACAATATCATGTGTAAATGGCATTTTATAAAATGTTTTTGGGTTGCCTCTGTTAATGTTTTTTAATGGGGCGGGGTAGCTCATGGAATGCCCTAGCGTACTACAATTTGAGAACTGATCAACATTTTTTGTTATAGGTGTCTTGTGGGACACGCAGCATCAAGTTAAGAGCAAAGAGCAGTGCTAAAGTTAAAGATTGGGTTGCTGCAATAAATGAAGTTGGACATAGACCTCTTGAGGGTTGGTGTCATCCTCACCGCTTTGGGTCTTTTGCTCCTCAACGAGGCTTATTGGAAGATGGCAGCCAGGCACAGTGGTTTGTTGATGGTCGGGCTGCATTTGAGGCCATTCTTCTAGCAATAGAGGAAGCAAAATCAGAGGTCTCAAAATAGGAAAAAAAAAGTATCCTTTCTTTATTTGATTGCATGTGCACCATTCATTATTTTAACATCTTTGCTGTGGTGGATGGTTTGTGGTACAGATATTCATTTGTGGCTGGTGGCTTTGCCCAGAGATGTACATGCGGCGCCCCTTTGATACCCATTCTTCCTCCCGGATTGATTATTTATTGGGAGCGAAGGCGAAACAAGGTGTTCAGGTAGTTATCTATGGCATTTATAAATTCTCAACTCTTTCGCTTGATACTTTGAACTGATAAAAATTGCACTCATCATTTGTCATTTTGTTGGCACTCAAATATCTTGAATAGTACTGCAAATAAAGTGCATGTAGTATAGCTAATACTATATATATGAGGCCTTACTCATGCCATGTTTTTTTTCAATTGAGCTAATTATTTGTATATATATGTATCTATAAGCACTTAACTTTCAGAGTAGGCAAGTAGCGGTAAGGTCTGCTTACACACATTCTTTCTAGATATGGGTATTTTTTGGGCCTGTTGTTGTGTATCTATAGGCATGCTTCGGCATCTTATAGCTGTTTTATATTTACTAGCATCATTTCATTGATCAGAAATTGAGAAGCAGTTACGTTCATTTATTTTTTTCATGGGCCAAAGCCTTGTACGACCGGTATGCAATCGGACAGTAACTGTTATTTTTTAGCTATTAGAAACAGCCTCAACGTACTTCTGATTGAAACTTCTGTCATCTACGATCAGTATTAAAAAGCGTAAAGAAAATGATTTAATAATATGGCCATACTTCTTTTCCTCCATGTATTCTGGAGAAACTACTTAGGGTTCTTATTAGCTTTTATGGATATCATAAAATTCAGTTTTTTTAAACACAACTTTTACAACTGTCACAAAATCCTAAATAAGCTGAGCTAGCCTGTTCATACTTCATCTATAAGTTATTGCGCTCTGAGGTTCGCAGGTGTGAATATGTTTGTTTTAATGTATCTTGTTGCTACAGATTTATATCCTGCTATACAAGGAGGTTGCTCTTGCTTTAAAGATCAACAGTGTTTATAGCAAGCGAAAGTTGTTAGAAATCCATGAAAATGTTAGAGTACTGCGCTATCCTGACCATTTTTCAAGTGGTGTTTATTTATGGTATGTGTGGCAAAAGATTTTGGTTTGCAGTTGTTAGTCAATCTTGATTTGCTTGTGCTAATTTCCAAAATGCTTATTCGTAGGTCTCATCATGAAAAAATTGTCATTGTTGACCATCAAATTTGTTTTATTGGGGGCCTAGATCTTTGCTTTGGTCGTTATGATTCATTTGAACATGAAGTTAGTGATTGTCCTCCTCTTATTTGGCCCGGGAAGGACTACTATAATCCAAGGTATTTTTTTACATTTGTGTCTTTAATTTTATACTATTTATTTTGACTTAGACCTTTTAATTTGCGAGTGAAGATGAGTGTGTCATATCTCTTGACACTTACGTGGAATTATACCTCTTTTTTATTCTTGCATTTTTTTGCGTCCATGTTCTATCCTGAACCTCTTCTTTTCTTATGTAAAAATATTCCTAAAGACTCATAGGCTCACTTCGCACTCTCCATTTCATGTTATCCCTCACATCCTCTGTAAATCCACCATTTGATTTTCTACTCGATAAGAGCACAGGTTCAACGAGCTTGTCCTTGAAAAGGCAACAATTCGACGTACAAGCCGCGACGGAAAAGGACTTTGAATTGCTACCTTAGGCAAGGAAATTTCTAACCCGTGCATTGCATGGGAAGAATTTTTAAATAAATTTTAAAATAAAGTTTTTCTTAAATACATTGTATAAGAGCAACAAATGTTATAAAAAGTAATAAGACCCTAATAAATAATAATGGTAGTGATGATTGCCGTGCGACTCAAACAAAGTTTGTGTTTTTTATTTTATGACAAAACAAACCAATGAAAACTAATAATACCTCATTTATACACCCCTATTGGTAGATGAGAAATTATTTTGGTTTAACCACGAAGTAATAGAAGTAAACTGTTTTTTACTTCAACCTCAAAAAATTATTTTGTGTATGTGTACCTTATTCCACTAATTTCAATTCTCTTCTACTTTGTTTTTTTGTGACAGCCAATTCTCTTCTACTTTGTACCAAAACAAAAAAAATGTTTCCCTTCTAATTTTCGTATATTTTTCATTTCAAAATACTTGAATAAAAAAGTGTTAAGTAATTAGTCCTTGAAAAGTATCACCCACTCTTCAACTATAACATTTAAACTGACTTCCTCTCAGTTTTTAAGTAATGGATCCCTTAAGTTTAAACCAAAAATGTAGGATTCTTTTTATTTGGTTGCAAATGAAATTCTTTTTTATAAACACCAATAATTTTTTCCAACTATATTGTTTGTTTCAGTATTGATTATTTTCGTTTGATCACTATCCTTTGGTACCTAATTCATTAATACTCCGTCTTAATGAATGATAAATGTTTCAACCAAATATGAAACATACCATCAAGGGTGAGTAACATTTGTAACAACAATAACAATAGTATCATTGTAAAGTCTAACTTAATTCCCTTGAAGTATATAGTAGGAAGCATTGCACAATATGCTTGTAGTACTCTAAAATTAGGATACTAAGCATAACTCTTAAAAAAAGAAGTGTATTTAATTCAAAGGGTTTTTATTCCATTGCAACTAAAAATAGTACTTAGGCATCCCCATCCACACTTTCAGTAGCAACCGAATATGGCTTTCTTCTGCCTCTTCAAGTTTGTCCGGGAAAGTTGTCGCAGAACTCGTTCTCTAGGGAATGTAGTACATACCAAAAATGATGGTGACTCCAGATGTATACATCAAGCTCCATTCTCTTGGCTCAGGCAAGAAAGCATGAAGTAGTGTGCAATCTGTCAATTTTGGGATTATAGAGAGCCTATTCACAATAATTATTTTATGAAAAGGGAGTAAAAAAAATATATTCACAGTAGACATGTTCCATCTAAGAATTTACGAATCTAGAAAGATGAAGTAAAAAAGATATTTTCACAGTAAAAAGTAAGGTTTCAAGCAATCAAAAAGCATGACTGAACTCAAGATGCTAAAGTGGGCAAAACGTGAAAAGAATTGCAGAAATATAGGTGTCCAAATATTAGAGAAAGGGTGAAGTTTGTTGTGTAAATTATCACCTCCATTTTACTATAAATAGCATAAAGATCTTCAATGTCAATAGGATTCTTTGCTTTGCCACTGCAAATATCCAACTGCCCGATAATCAAATATATCCTCCACTTCAACCTCAATTACTGCAACAAATTATATACACAACATCCATGAACAATAAATTCAAATAAAAACTATATACTAAAAAAGTCTCGCACCGCTTGACATGAAAGGGAAAAGAATAATTATCTCAGGAATTTGCACTCGCTGCATTGGTGCATCAGGCCCAGAAGCAACAGCCTTTCACCGTCTCGCAAAAGCTACGGATTTTGAAAATATTCAAAGTTGAATAATGAAGTTTAAGACTTTGGAAATCAAATTACCGAAAATCAGATGCAATTGAATGCCAAATTGAACAAAAGACCAGGCAGAGTGAATTAAGAAAACCCTGAATTCGAAAATCCCTTACCTTTGGAATAGTACGTCTCTTCTTCAATGGACAGCCTCTTTTCTATAGACAAAGACATAAATAAAAAAACTGGGTCAGAATGGAAAGATTGTTGCAGTAAGGGAGCTGTGAGCAAGAAAGCACGAAAGAAAAATAAGAGTAAACATAGTTGTGAAAAGCACGCCTGAGGCGCGATGCGCCCGATGCACTAGGGTTAGTGCATCCGCAGACTTGATGCGCGCGCTGTTCGTGATGTGCACGCCTTACTGCGCCTCCTCGCATTATGCGCTGCTACGTGATGCGATAAAAGGCGCACATTGGGAACATATATTAATTTCTGTTTTTTTGAAGGTTAGGTTTAGGGATTAGTGTTAATATTTATTCCGCCTCACCCTTTATTATCTTTACGTTGGTTAACGACCCAAAGAAGTTCAAACGAAAAGTCTCTTCCTCCTTCAGTCCTTCGACGATCTCCTTCCTCGTTTTTTCTCTGCTTTGACTCTCCTCCTCTTCCCATGGATAACGCTGAGCTTCAGTGTGCACAGTAACACAGTACCCCAGTTGCAAGTTACAACCAGTTATGACTCTCTTCCTCACACCTATTATGGTAATTCTTTTCTTATTAATGAACTTGTATTTTCTACACTGGTTTTTTTCTTAGATGTACACTGGTTCTCTATTTTTTTTCAAACTTTTTTTTGATGTACAATACATATTTTTTCTTCAGATATTTTTTTCTAGCAGATATTTTTCACATTTTAATTCTGCTCTTTGAACTTTATGGTTTTTAATTTTGTGTATGCCTCATTGGTAAAATGTGTGACTTTCATTCTTGATTGATTTCTAAAACTTTTTTATGCTTTTATAAGTTTTATATATACTATTACTAATGTAGATATACTACATTTCTACTAATATCCAATTTGCGCATTGTGTTCGTGATGTGCGTGCATCAAGTGCGCATCGCGCATCGAGGCGCTAGAGCCCTTTGGTGCATCAGTGCGCATCACGCCTTAAATAAATATGAGAGTAAATAAAAAGGGTACATACTGCCCATGGGTGGTCTTCCTCTTTGTTCGTACCACTGGAAGCAAATAACCATCGCGGGTCTGAGCCACTACTGTTTCAAATCCAAACCTGCCGGAATCCATGGTCAGAGTTTGTGATTGTGTCATCGCTGCCTTGCTTCGGCGGAAGGTAAGAAACCGTAGGCGGCGCTTCCAATTTATTTTATTGAATGAAGAAGTTGGAGGGGATGCGAATGAATAATGGAGACATGACCGTCTCTCCCCCACTGAAATATTGTCCTTTTACGGATGGACGAAGCTACTGTCCTAAGAGATACCTTTGAGCGTGAAACAACATATGCTATTTCATTTTCTTTTTATATATAGTAGGATGATTCATTTGAACATGAAGTTAGTGATTGTCCTCTTATTTGGCCCGGAAAACACTACTATAATCCAAGGTATTTTTTTACATTTGTGTCTTTAATTTTATACTATTTATTTTGACTTAGACCTTTTAATTTGCGAATGAAGATGAGTGTGTCATATCTCTTGACTCTTACGTGGAATTATGCCTCTTTTTTATTCTTGCATTTTTTGCCTCCTTCATGTTCTATCCCGAACCTCTTCTTTTCTTATGTAAAAATAATCATAAGAACTCATAGGCTCACTTCGCACTCACCATTTCATGTTATCCCTCACATCCTCTGTAAATCCACCATTTGCTTTTCTACTCGATAAGAGCCCTGGTTCAAATTTTAGGGCACGAGCTTGTCCTTGAAAAGGCAACAATTCGACGTACAAGCCGCGGTGGAAAAGGACTTTGAATTGCTACCTTAGGCAAGGAAATTTGCCTCATATAGGGCTCCATAGACTTTGCCGTGTATAAACTTTGTTGGCATTTGCCAAAAGCCCAAAACACTGTGTTGTGAGATCCATCAAATCGAGGAAGGACATCTATGGAAATCCAAAGTTTTTAAAGGAACACAAAAAAGCTTGCCAACTTTCACCCTACTATGAATAACAACAACAAGCTCAATAACATCCCAAAAGAAGTAGGCTCTGAGGAGGGTGTGTGTAGGCTGACTTTATGCCTACAATGAACTAATGAAGTAGATGAGCAGTTTCCAAGAGACCCTTGGCTTAGGGATAGAAGAACACTCAAAGAAGCTTACTAAAGCATGCATGAAGTACAAACAAGCCAACTCTGAGAACTAGACTTAAAGCACAAAAAGCAGACAAGCACACACATTAGACTAAGGCAATTAAGCAAACAAAGGCAAAAACTACCAACTAAAGCCCTCTAGTCTATCCTACTATCCTAATCTTAGATCTCGAGGCGTTCCTATCCAAGGCCAGATCAAGACGTCGTAAGTCTTGTCTAGTTACCTCCTTTCAACTCTTTTTAGGTCTACCTCTATCCCTCACCATGATCTCCAGGAGAGAGTAATAAGATACTACTAAGAATATGAATAAGAGAGTACTAATAATGATGATGATGAAAATAATGATAGTAACCACAATAACACGCTAACAACAATAATATAGTGCCCACATTTTGTGAATTGTAGTTAGCGAAAGGTTATATAGAAATTTTCCACACGAGGAATGTATCATCCCTTTCCGAAAACTCCCACCACTCTTTTGTACTCCCTCCGTCCTGTAATAACATTCAGGTTTTGACTGTTTCTAATATTTAAGGAGGGTTGACAATGTGGTTGAAATGTCTAAAATATCCTTTGATCTTCCCTCCACCTTGCCCCTTGCCCTTGCTATCTCTCTCAAGCCCACTGTTTCTAATTTTTACTTTTGTTTATTTAGTTTAACAAATCCAGACCCTACTTTCGTGGGATTCAACTGTGTTGTTATTGTTATTGTTGTATACCAAATTGCAAAAATGGCAGACCAAACATGGTAATATGTGCATGAATTCTTATTTTCATGCTAGACTTTGTTACCTTTGAGATTTGTGACTTTTAAGAATACAATTTTTTAATGTTCATGGATTTGTTGTGGTAATTGATAATGTTATATGGACATTTTTAAACTTTAAAGTTGAAGCTTATGCATCAATACGCCTTGAGGCTTACGCAATACACCTTGAAATAAAAACGCCTAAAAACAATTATACACCTTGAAATGGTCATGTGTGTGACTGCGTTCTTTATTTGCATTGTATTTTTTAAATTTATTTGCCTCAACACAGTTTGTTTTGTTGTCCATAAAATTCCCCAAGTTTCTTATGCAGTTCCATTTTCAGGGAATCTGAACCAAACACGTGGGAGGATACCATGACAGATGAGTTGGACCGGAGAAAATATCCGCGCATGCCATGGCATGATGTCCATTGTGCTTTGTGGGGACCACCGTGCCGTGATGTGGCTCGGCATTTTGTGCAGCGCTGGAACTATGCCAAGGTTCATATATCTTCATAAAATCAGCTAGCTTCTTTTGACAAGTATTGTTATCATATTATGACAACAGTTCCAATTGAAGCACCTGCGGTGCTTTGTTCGGAAAATTGATGGTTCCTCCCCCCCCCGGATTGCCGATTGGCTGTCAATACAATTGGAAGCAAATTGGTGGTTCGGGGGAGGGGGGGGGTGGGGCTAGGGGGTTGGAGGGAGTAGGAACCATCAATTTTATGAACGGAGCAGTGTAACTATTATCATATTTTGAAAGTTAGTTCTGTCAAAATAACCTAAGTGTCATAAAATATATTCTATAAAACTTTTACTTTCTTTTGAGTTGGGCACTTTTTTTGCAATTTCTTAGAGGAGCAAAGCTCCAAATGAGCAAGCGATTCCACTACTAATGCCTCGGCATCACATGGTTATTCCCCATTACATGGGAGTCAGCACCGAGACCCACACTGGATATAGAGAAGTTATTGGCAATATCAAAAAACAAGATTCATTTTCCTCTCAATCGTCTTGCCAAGACATTCCTTTGCTCATGCCTCAAGAAGCTGACGATATGGATATAAGGGGTGAACCAAAGTCATGTGGGTTCAGCCCTGGGTATGAATTCCATGACCAACCAAGTGGGACAGCTAGCATTCTTTTTCCTTCACGGAAGGCAAAATTAGAACCTTTTTCGCCAGGCATGCCAATGCAAGGATTTGTGGATGATGTCAATACCATGGATCATCAGAGAAGGTTGTCTTCCAGTTTGATGCATCCTGGAACTACAACTTCAGATAAGGAATGGTGTGAAATACCGGAGTGCAGTAGTCAAGTTTTTCAGTCAGGTGAAACTGGGCAAGTTGGTCCCCGTGCTCGATGTCGATGTCAGGTGAGCTACTCTTACAATGCTAATGGCAACAACTAATGTTTACTACTTTGTATCTTTTTGGTTTCATGCTAGATCAGGACGACCAACAGAATCTTGCTTAATCATTATTGCTTGTGCAAATTATATATCTTTCAACTTTCGTCAAAAAAAAAAATCTTTCAACTGTATACACTATCTTTTGTTCAGTTCATACATCATAGTTTGCTAGTACGGAGTATTACTGTAAAGAAGCTTGGCGGGTTTGTTGATTAGATATAATTTGAAATGTTTTTGTTCCAGATTATAAGGAGTGTTAGTCAATGGTCAGCTGGAACAAGCCAAAATGAAGAAAGCATACACAATGCATACTGTGCTCTTATCGAGAAGGCAGAACACTTTATTTACATTGAGGTTCGTAATAGGCTAATAACCATTTCTTTTAAAGCAATAAATTAGTGGGTAAGGCCATCACGGTCCTGCTTTATTAGATGATTGTCCCCATTATGTTAGGTCACCACCTTCAGTCTGATTATGTCTTTTTCTCTGTGATGAAAAAGTCCTAGACAAACACTGCTATATCAGTTCTGATCACTAACCATTGCTAAATCCCCAATGCTGAAAGACCATAACAGCTATGAGGGAACTAGTTTTTGAACATAGGACCAACTATTCTATCCCGAAATCAAAGGCATTCATGAATAGATATTTTTTTCATAATTATGAATTATCTTGTTCTTGGTGGATTTCATTTTTCGGGGGGGGGGGGTGAGGGTGCAGAGGGGGAGCGTACTGAGTGAGTAACGGTGGGAGAGGGAATAAGTTTTCTTATTCGATCTACGAATGCTCTTCATTAACTGTTGAATGTTTTTCCCAGAATCAATTTTTCATCTCAGGTCTAGTGGGAGATGAGATTATAAAGAATCGTGTATTAGAATCATTGTGTGAGAGAATCACGCGAGCTTACAATGAGAATAAGTGCTTCAGGGTCATTATTGTCATACCACTTCTGCCTGGATTTCAGGTACACGAGTTATCAAGATTGCCATCCTTGTATCTTCTTTTCGATTATCTTACGACTATTTTCTCCATAAGTTTTTACTTAAATGTTTCTTATTTTCTCAGGGTGGTTTGGATGATAGTGGTGCGGCATCTATACGAGCTATCATGCATTGGCAATATCGGACAATATGCCGGGGAAATATGTCAATTTTGCATAATCTGAGTGATCTTATTGGTCCTAGAGTGCACGAATATATATCTTTTTATGGTCTCAGATCCTATGGTAGACTGTTTGATGGAGGTCCTGTGGCTTCAAGCCAGGTATTCCTCATATGTAGATTAACATGGAGATTAAGAAATTGGAGATTAACATGAACATGGAGATTAAGAAATTGGAAGTGTGTGTGGTTGAGTTTTATTTCAAAGAAGAATTGTACACCACCAATTTATTTCTTTTAAAGGAAAGTAGAAAATACGCGATGGACAAAAACAGTTCGAAAAGCCAGCGGGACAAAGGAAGTAATACATTGAACTTCATCCACCCCATACAAACCTTCACTCTTTCCTTTTTTTGTCCACCCAAAAAAAATGATTTTTCATCCGTCCTGAAAAAACTTCAATTTCCTTTTCGTCTAACAAATTCTGACCACACCTTTTTCACTTTTCTTAAACTCAATGAAAGTCAATGCAAGAGTTTTTTTACCGGACAGTGGGAGAATGACATTTCTTAGATTTAGTACTGGTAAAAGTGTAAAACTGGCAGGCTAGCAACTGTTGAAACATTTATGAATTTTGAAACACATGATTACAAGTTCTTTTTTTAAAGGAATCACTAGTTAATTTACACTATGTTTGGTTCAGGGAATTTGAATGGGAAAAGAAAAGAAAATGGAGTGGAAAACTGTTTTTCATGTTTGGTTGGAGAGGAAAAGTGGAAGGAAAAGAAAATGAGAATACAAATGTATTAAATGGAGGGAAAACCAAATTCCTCCCATTTTGGTGAGGAAAATGAGAGAAAATCGTTTTCTTTTCTTTTTCTTCCAAAATCCTTGAACCAAACATAGTGTTAGGGTTATCAGGTAAAAGAGGAAAGTAGGAAACTATTATTTTTGAAAATATGTTTATAAGTTATCACTACCATAAATTGACATTCTTAGGACATAACAAGTTATTTTCTTCCTTGTTATTGACTTATTCATGTATTTGTCAATTCCATAGGTTTATGTGCATAGCAAAATCATGATAGTTGATGACTGCACAGCCTTGATCGGATCAGCAAATATTAATGACCGGAGCTTGCTCGGCTCCAGAGACTCTGAGGTAAGTATTTTGTTTCCTGTTTAATTTACAGCCATTATACTAATGGAATATATGAACTTAGCCAATGAAATATCAGGGCCAGTTTATGTGCATTATATGGATATGGAAACAGATGTGATTTCAAGATTAAAACGACCAAATGTTGAACAATGTTATGTTTTCTATCTAGTGCCTTTGTAATGAAAGCTACTTTTAATAACCAAAATTTGTTTTTTGCAGATCGGTGTAATTATCGAGGATGAAGAGTTTGTTGATTCATACATGGGAGGCAAACCACGCAAGGCCGGGAGATTTGCATCTAGCCTTCGACTCTCGCTATGGTCTGAGCATCTTGGTCTTCTACCTGGAGAGGTTCTATCTGTGAACAATTTAAGCATCATATGTGGGGCATGATGTTCTATGTTATTATATTACTCTTATTTTTCACTTTGTTTAGATTGGTCAAATTACTGATCCAGTGATTGATTCTACATACAAGGATATATGGATGTCAATTGCAAAGGTAAAAATGGTGAAATGTTCATTGGATGTCACATCATGTTGCTAGTACAAGGACCTGCTGCCATGTTTAACTAAGTTTAGTGTATTAAGGACTTGAGAAATCATCACTTAACAACCTTGTTTTTATTCCCGAAATAGGAGTTAAAATGCGTTTCCATTACCAATCATGACCATGTACCTTTCTAAAAAGTATAGTAAAATACACATGTACAATGCCCGGATTATCAGAGTGCAAACTACACACTCCTATTTAGGGAATAAAAACATGAAACTCCTATTTTGGTATTTTCTCTATGTTTTACTCCTATTTAGGGTGATTTCTTTAAGTTTAGTGTATTAAGAACTTTAGAAATCATCACTTTACAACCTAGTTATAGACTATTTATTTGACAAAGTTAGATCAAAAATCCAAGTTGATGAACAATCAGTTTTTGCCAGCTCAGTACCTACTAGGTGACACTTAAGTTTTGAAAAAATCAGAGCAACAAAAATCTCTTAGTAATTTAAAATTGCCAACTTGAATCCAATTTAGTCATTTTAGTGTCCATCCTACAATAAGCCCAACTAAATTTTAAAGCTGTGAAAACAGTTCCTTAACATCATTAATTTGAAACTGACCACAACTATGAACTCAAAATGAACCCAGATTGTTTCACAAATTAGTTAGGAACACCTAGAGGTCAAGGATTAGAGTAGTTTGGTAGACTTTTTGGCTATAAATTGTAGTTCATGTTGATGTGTGTTTTTATGCCTTAGTCTCTAGTTTGTGCTTGTGCGTGTGTGCCTTGTGTGTTTCGGGTCTGACTTACCGAAATAGCCGTTGCACCTTATATTTGCATTGCAATCATGTTTCTTGAACAATCCAACTGACCAAGTCTTCTGCAGACCAACACCATGATTTTCCAAGACGTTTTTTCTTGTGTTCCAAATGATCTTATAGATTCGAGGTATAGTTGCTGATCTGCAATGATGGTGCATCCTCTCATTCCTAGATAAGTATTCTTTCGCTTAAGCATTTCAATCTAATCTCATTTACATGGACACGCAGGGCTTCTCTTCGTCAGTGCCTGGCTTACTGGAAAGAGAAGATCGGTCACACTACGATCGATTTAGGAATATCTCCATATAAGCTAGAGTCTTATCAAGATGGAGATATCAAAGAAACAGATCCAATGGAGAGGTTAGAGATGGTAAGGGGTCATCTCGTTTCTTTCCCACTCGATTTTATGTGCAAAGAAGATCTAAGACCCATGTTTAGTGAAAGCGAGTACTACGCTTCACCTCAAGTCTTTCACTAGACATGGTTGGCTTTGGTTGTACAGAGGAAGAATCCATACATATATTTTGCAATATATAAGTTTTCAAGCTATCCAAAGCTATGCTGGGAATCTGCAGCCAGCCTTGTAGAGTAGTAGAAATAAATAAAATTATAGGAACAGAGCATCCAGCCTTGTGGGGTTGCAGGGTAGCACGTTGACCATTTATTTCAATCCCAGATCCGTTCCTTTACTAGATTCTTCAGGTGCAGATTTGTGGTAAACCAATGCGACATGCCCGAAACAAATGGACACTTACCACTGGGTTACTGATGATGTTTAAGGTGCTCTAAAAAATTTCCTCTCGTGGGACAAACATCGATATGTGTTGAAGACTGGTATATTTCAGTGGTTATTTCCAGGTATAATTATATTTTTTAACCTCACATGCTCATTTAGTAAAAACAGTGGTTTATATGTACAAAGTTTTTAATATTAGCGTTAACATTTTTTTCTTTTATTCATATATATTTATATGTATTATTGTAAATTTCATTACTTCCTCCGTTCCATAAAAAAATAGACACTTTACTATTCAATATTCACGGAAAATCTTGTTTATTTGTTGGTTTTAGTTGATTATTTGATAATATAAAATATTCTTATCTCCCTTATTTTGTGGAACTTTTCACATAATTTTTAACAGTGTGAGTTATATTTTAATTTTCTACATCAAATTTTGAGTAAATGAATTCAAGTGTGAAAATTACTGCGTTTTATGAAAGAATAGAACATTTTTGGATGAAGTAGTAAAGACTGTTTGTATATTTGTATTGCTCGTAGTGAATAAAAACAAATATGAATTTCACTGTATTTCATTCTTCAATTTCTATGTTTAAATTCTCAATTTTTTAAGAACAAAGTCCTGTTTGAAACAATTAATTTAATTTTTGTAATGTCTAGTTTTTTATATCAGGAATCTATACTCCCTCCATCCCAAATTGTAAGCCAGGTTTCAAACATGTGAAATTTTTTCCCTTTTTAAATTATTTTATTCATAAATTGGTATAGAAATAAAATGTTAAATTTTACCGTTTAAAAATAAATCAAAAGTTCAAATAAGATGCAACCTAAATATTTTATTTTATCAAATGGTTAACCAAGACTGGTAAAAAAAAGTTATCGAGAGATCGAAATAATAATTGTTGCTTATATTTTGGGATGAAAAGAGTATTAAATAGCTTATGTCAAATATATTTAACCAAAAAACATACTACCTCTATCTTAGGAAGACTTTCTTGTTTTGATTTTGGGAGATGCTAGGGGTACAGGTGTATCCCAAATGTCCCCCACCTCTTTCATAACCACTCATTTTTATTTGATTTTTATTTACTTATTTTTTTGAATTTTCTTGCCATTTTGTTGGACAAGGAGAGGGTGGGGGACATTTGGGATACACCTTTGGTGTACTCAAGGTGTGTCCTTTGTATTTTCCTTTAATTTTTTTTGTATAAAAATTGATATTTTTAACCATATATTATAAAAAATATATATTTATTTATAAAATAAATTTAGTATAATTGAATTTACATTAGGATATATGCTTGATATATCAAATTTTCATATTTGGAGTAATATTATTTATTTAAATTAGGTTTAATTTGTAATCAAAGAGTCAAAATTTAACAAAAAAAAAAGGTACTCTGTAAAATAGAAAGCATTTTCTGGAATGGATGGAGTATTGAAAATGAACTTCATTTGTCTGAATTCCGTTCACTTTTAAAAGATCCCGTATTATAGCAATGAAAGTAGAACAACTAGTAGTTACATTAAAACAACTAATAGTTCAATGGGCCGGTTTTATGGCCACTGCTTTCTAGTGGTCATGGAAGTCACTGTTTTGATTCGTATATTTATGGTGTTTTATTCGTAAAATTAATGATTTTTATCTCCTCTAAGCCCCTGAGTCTGACCCCAACCCATATCAATTACACCCCGCAAGTTTAATTGATTTTAAAGTAAATAATTTTGACTTTAAAGTCAAATAAATATGCGGGATGCAATTAGCATGAGTGGGGGAATGAGTTAGGATCGGGATTATGTGAGGTGATTTATCGAAAGTTAAGGGAGTAAGAATCATGAATTTACGAACGGAACATCGAAAAGTGGCAATGACTTTTCTAGACCATAGTTGATAGTTCAATGTCCTTAGGATAATAGCCGGGGGTGAGTTGGAGACGCAAAAGAATAAATTAATTTTTCAAAGAGGAACAATCTGCCGACTAGTAGTGTACCATTTGAGTTGGTATATGGTACATCCGGATGTATTTAGAGATATGTACATCCATGTAGAACTCATTTCGAAGTTAAGTAGTACTCATTCTCGCACAAGCATAATGGTTCATTTAAAAAATGTGGTACTCATTCTGAAATAACGCAGTACTTATTCAGACATAACACCATACTCTCTTTCACAAATTTGTTCAATATTCATTTACGAATAACATAATATTCATTCTAAAAGACAGTAGTACTCATTACCATATAACCTAGTACTCAATCTTAAACAACCTACCATTCATATAATCATATGTTGAAATCTGGTAAGTGGAAGCCTCTAGGAAGCGCGGAAGACCATCGCTAGCAACTGGAAGTAAAATTGATCGGGAATCTAACGACCTCCATCTTCATCAACAACCTCCGCGCAGCCTCCTTCATCAAGAATCGCTGATCGGAAATCCATCACGCAACCTCCTTCATGGCCGATCCATTCGGCCGTTCTTGAAGCAGGCCCCCTTTTGCCCTAATTAATTGCCGGCTGTACGGTTCTTCCCGTACAGCCGGATGTACGGTATAATTTGTGGTACCATCTTCAAATTCATTTGCAACTTCTTTCTTTCAGCTAATAACAAAGGAGTCAACTTTGTCAAAAAATACTGCTTCCTATATTCTAATTGAATCTCTTCAGTTCGCGTTACGATGCATAACTAATTTTATTTTTAATTTAATTTATTTAAGAGTAAATTTCTAAAATTGTACCCAATAACTATGTGTCTTCCCAGCTTAGTTTCCACAATTAACTTACCGAGATAGTACTCGTTATCTGAGAATGCTGCTAAGTTTAGTCTCTGCAACTAACGACCGTTAAAACGGCATTAACACAACATTAAACTTCATACTATTTTTCTAAAATGGTACTTTCTAATTGTGTGTTTTCTCAAATGGGTCTATTTATGAAATAAAAATACATTAATATTGAAAAAATATTTAAAATTTCATAGGATGAAGATATAATGCTAAAAACTATAAATACAATTTTATAAATTTGAAAGTAAACATTTTCTATCATTAACAATTATTTAGAGAAATATCATGTAAATAAAACGTTTAATAAATGTTAAATAAATCACCGTAAATAAGAGTAAAACATAGCAAAAAAGTTTTTATTTTAGAATCTTTTATTCCAATTTAAAGTAATTTCTTTAACGTTTATTTAACATTTTGTTTACATGATATTCTTCTAAACAATTGCAAATGATATAATTATATTTATAGTTTTTAGTATTATATTTTCATTCTATGAAATTTAAACATTTTTCGATTATAAATGTATTTTTATTTCGAAAATGGACCAATTTGAGAAAACACTCGGTTAGAAAGTACCATTTTGGGAAAATAGTTGAATTTTAATGTCATTTTAATGTCGTTTTAACGACGGTTAGTCGAAGGGACTGAACTTAGCATTATTCTCAATTGACGAGTACCATATCAGGAATTAGTTAATTGTCGGGACTAATGTGGGAAAACACATAGTTATTGAGTACCATTTTGAGAATTACTCTTTATTTAATTGTATGTGTAAAATTTAAAAGGAAAAGTTATATTTTTAAAAACTTCATCAAATGAGTAGCGAAAATAAGAAATCAAAATGTATAAACTTTGACCATATAGATATTATACGTAAAGATTCAAGTGCGACGGAGGGGGTAGTAGTAACTCTGTCTCTGAGTATCTACTAGTATAACATCCGTGTGTTGCGCAAGTCATATATACGCTAATAAATTAAGATCATATATTTATTAAAATATAGAGATTTTCTTATTTTAAGATACAAAAGTTTTTTGCTATACAAATTTCAAAAGACTTTTTTATAAACTGCATTATTCGTACACTTTTTGGGAACATTGTCTTTATTGCATATCAGAATCTCCAAACCAACTAATTTGTTACTCTTGAAACTGCAACATATAGTTGTCCATAACTAAAATACTGGTTTCTGAAACAATAATCCAACATGTTTTGCCCTTGACATTATAAAATGTTGTAATTGACACATTCTAGGATATTAAAAACAACAACCGTTAGACTTAATTTTTTGTGTCAAATTTTTTCAAATTTATATTGAAATAATATAATAAGAATACCATTATATACTCTAGGTTTCTGTTGGGGACTTGTCGTAAGGTCCAAAACAAATTAAAAATTTATAAAATATCCTTAACTAACCCCCAAAATATAATCAAATAAAAACTATAGCTAGGGCAAGTAAGGGTCGATCCCACGGAGAAAGTTTGTACTTTTGAAAGTATTTAAGCATGCACACACATTGTCACTAAACAAAATAAACTAACTACTACACACATAATAAAACTTATAATAAAACTTATAACTAAATAAATATAAAAACTTATAAATTTAACTTATAAATACGAAGAACTTATAATATAACTTATAACACTAAACACAATAGGGGGGGTGCTGGATGAAAAGTAAATATATTTTTGGTTTTTTATTTTTCTTATTTTTTTGGTTTTTTGATTAAATGGGGGAAAACAAGCTCTAACGATATTCAACTTCTCCAACTAAAGTAACCCAAGAAACACCGCCAAGAACCCGAAACAAAATGAAAAAAGAGAACAAATACAATCGAACATTACACATATAATAGGCACGTAGACAATATACTACCTCCGTCCCACTGTCTTTGTCCACTTTTGACTTTTGGAACTGTTCATCTAAACACTTTGACTCATCAAATTCTCTCAATCTGTAAGCCTAAAAATAGTCATGTGTGATCTTGTTTGATTCGTCTTAACATATAGATTATTAATATATAATTTCTATAATTTTTTAATATACAAAGTACAAGATAAAATGGATTAAAGAAGTGCATTGGATGGTGTGCCAAAAGGTAAGTGGACAAAAACAGTGGGACGGAGGGAGTATTACGTAACTTACGCACTTAAGAATAAAAAAAACAAATCAAAGGCCGAGTCGATTCATTTCCTTAAACACGATATGGAGGATTGTCAACTCTCCACACAGCCCGGAGTCATGCAATTCAAAAGCCCGTTTTGAAATATACTTTTGAACCCCAACTCTCTATTCAAGCATGATAACATACTTCCACTATAGAAAAAGTTTATAAAAGAGAGAATCTATTATGCATTCAACTCTCATACATAGTCTATTCACAAACTGCCAATACCTTATGTATTTTAATAAACTTTTTCTCCTAATGATGAGCACATTTCACAAATTTCCATGAACTTCTCAAACCAATGACGTTTTTTCTATTCACATAAAAGAACACAACGTATTTTCACTAAATCAAGAATTGTTTTTGAGCTTAAACAACCTTAATTAATGAAAATAACAAACGAACACACGAAAACATAATGTTAAATATAGTCCTTCTATATTTAATATATTAGGTATATATTATTATATTGTGTATATCCTAGTTACCATATATGCCTAGGTTTCCTTGTATTGTATTTTCCTAATATACCTAGGATTCTCCTAGTATATATTCCCTTGTATTATCACATTGTAAACTATTGGAAAATATCAAATCTTTCATGGTATCAGAGCATTAAAATTCTCTCGGCTCCCTCCTCAAACTTTCAGCCTTCTCCCTGCCGACGTTCTTCGAAGCTGCTTCCCGGTCTTCGGCTTCTTCTCCGCCGCCACAGATTTCTCGGCGGCCTTCTCTCTGCCGGCTTCCTCTCTGCAGTTTCTCTCTTCGGTTTCCCTCTCTGAGCCGTAGCTCCTCCCCGGCACCACCATGGCTGAAATTTCATCTATCTCCTCTGACAATACATCTTCACCCAAAACCCCCCATCTTGCTTTTACCACTGTCTCCAACATCAAATTACACATCCCCATTCAACTCAGCATATCCGAACCGAACTACAAAAAGTGGAGTAAACTTTTTCGTTTACTTGCTCTTCGCTTCAATCTCATGGGATTTCTCGACGGCACCACTATTGCCGCCTCCTCCAACGACACTGAATGGCTCCAGTTTGATGCCCTCCTTCAAGGGTGGATTCTCTCCACCGTCACGGACGAGGTTTCAGATCTTGTTCTCGCCAACAGCCCCTCCGCTCATTCTCTCTGGACAGCGATCTACAAGTTGTTTCATGATAACAAACATGCTCGGGCGATGCAATTAGAGCATCGTTTCCGCACAACCGTCAAGGGCAACCGGACGATCAATGAATATTGTCACCTCCTCAAAAATCTCGCCGACTATCTTGATGATGTGGATGCTCCGGTGACCGAACATGCTTTGGTTTTACAGGTTCTTCAGGGGTTGCCGCAAGACATACGAGGCCAGGTTACTTTTCTTCAGTATCAAACTCCTTTTCCGACTTTTTTGGAGGTTCGCTCGGCCCTCTTGCTTGTCGAACAACAACAAACAGACGCCACCCATGGCGCCGGCTCGTCGACGGCACCCCTCATCGCTGGCAGTGGCGGCGGGTCTCCAGCGGCGGGCGGACAGCAGCGGCAGACAGGGGGTCCTGGGCGCGGCTATGGCAGTCAATCTCGACCCTTCAACAGTGGGCGTGGTCGTGGCAGCTCGAATCAACGACAATCCATTGGTCCGCAGTCCTGGCAGTTCCCTAACCCTACACCCGGCCTACTTGGCCCACGCCCCTACCCCACCTATCCACCCTACCCGGCCCAGGCCCACATGGCCCAAACCCCTAACCCATACCCATACTACCCCCCTGCCCAAACTCCCCAATACTACCCAGCCCCCTACCCGAATTCCCCTACCCATAACCCAAACCCTT